GTTACACATTCGGGATTTTCAATGCAGTGAAGTTGGATTCCTTTCCTTTCTCTGAGAGCAAGCAAGCAAGAATAACACGCTATGTACAGTACACACTCCTCCCCAGGCACTAGTCAAAGATGATTGATAATCATGAACAGAAAAAGTTAAACGCCCTCCGTGCAAATTTTGGTCTATATTCGACAACATACTCCGGGAGGGGGGGGGAAATCAAAAGCTCACAAGCTCACCCGGCCGTTACGGTCCTAGTAATGACAACACCTCCCTGAATACCAGACAGACCTACCGCGTCTCCTTCTCCTTCTCCTTCCCCCCACTCCGCACCTCCCGCTCCAACACATCCAACGCCTCCGCATACCGCGCGCGCGCCGCCTTCATCCCCTCCAGACTAACCGCCACCCTATGCACCTTCTGCGGGCGGTCCCCACCGTCCGCCTCGACGCGCACGATCTGCCCGTCCGCGGCGCCGCCGATCTGCTGCGCGAACCACTTGCCCTCGCGGTGGGCGACGAGGGTCCAGGCCGCGCCGGCCTGGCCGGCGCGCGCCGTGCGGCCCACGCGGTGCACGTAGGTCGTCACGCTGGTCGGCACGTCGTAGTTGACCACGTGCGTCAGCCGGGGCAGGTCGAGGCCGCGCGAGGCGCGGTCCGTCGCGATGATGATCGCGAGCTTGCCGCGGCGGTGGGCGGTCAGGGTCTTGCGCGAGGCTGAGGATTTGTTGGACTTGATGATCGTGCCCGTGCGCGACGCGAGGGTCGGGTCTAGTAGCGCGAGGAGGCGCGCGAGACGCGAGGCGGATTCGGAGGATTTGGTGAAGATGAGGACGGTCGGCGTGGTTTTGTTGGTGTTGGAGGAGGGGGAGGGGCGGGGGCGGGTGGGTTTGGTTCGGGAGGTGGTGGAGGCGCTGGAGGAGGAGCTGTCGCTGTCGCTGTCGCTGTCGGAGGAGGACTCGCTGGAGGAAGAATCAGACTCGCTGGAGGAGGTGTCGTCTGATTCGGAGTCCGAGCCTGAGCTGGATGTGTCCGAGTCTGAGTCCGAATCCGAATCCGAATCGTCCGAGCTGGACTCGTCCGAGGAGGTTTCGTCGGAGGATGTGTCGTCCGAAGAGGTATCGTCCGAAGTGTCCGAATCGGAGGCCTTGGCCGCTTGGTTGGTGCCGTTGATTCGGATGTGGGAAAGGAGAAGGCGCAGCAGGTAGAGTGGCTTGAGGGACCCATCGCCCACCGAGATCGAGTGCTCCTTCAAGGTCGGCGGCAGGGTGAACTGCTCGTCGGCGCCGGCGATCACGCCACTCTCGTCGTCGCCGACGGCGGCGGTATCGGTGGAACCCACAATGACAAGCTTGGGGTTGGCGAGTCGGAGAGAATTCAACTTCGTCACGTCCCGGGTCATGGTCGCACTCAGAACCACCTTCCTTGGCTCCCTGCTGTGGATCGGGAGGCCCAGCTCCGACAGGAAAGTCCCGCTGAAGCCAAACGCCTCGGGGGATCGGCGCGCATCCAGCGAGTTCATGACCACGTCAACCCATTCTTGGAAGCTCTCGTTGAGCAACCGATCAGCCTCGTCGATCACGAGCCATTCCAGGTGCTTCAGCGTAAAGCCTTTGGTGTAGCGGATGTGGTCGACAAGGCGACCCGGGGTACAGATGAGAATGTCAACGTTCGGTTCCGGACGGTGCACGTACCCCGGTAGAGCCTCGCTGGAATCCACCGCGTCGGTGATATAATCCTGCAAGTTGAAGTTGGTCCAGTCGTCCCCGGACATTTTCACATGCTGGCGGCGCTGGAACGTCGCGGGCCCGTACACCTGGTCAATGCGCATCAACGAGCGCTGTTCGTCCTTGATGGCTACATTACCCACAGCTGATCCCACGCGCAGGCCGGAGCCAGCAACACACAGTTCACACGCCTCGCGGGCCTGCTTCACCAATTCTCGGGTTGGCACGACAATGAGACCCCGCAGCCGAGGGGCAGGGATCTGCTCAAGCGCGGTGACAAGCGGTAGAACGTAGGATAGGGTCTTTCCGGAACCGGTGGCTGCAGAGACACAGACATCGCCGGCGTGGTTCTTAGGGCCCTGGAGTAGCAGGGGGATGACCGCCGACTGCACAGCAAACGCTTCCTTGTAGCCGTTATCCTCCAATACCCGCAGCAGGTTCGCATTAATTCCCAATTCAGAGAACTTCGTCTTCTCGGTCGCCGAGGTCCGCAGGGGATTGGCCAGCCAGGCCGGAAGCGACGAGTATGTAGGCTTCTCGAACACCTCGGGGACTTGCTCAGGCTGTGGTAGAGGCTCCAAGCCTTGCGCGACAACCGGTTCGGCCGTCAACAGTCCTGTAGAGTCGTCTTCATCTGTATCCTTCTTGCGTGCTTTTTCCAGCTCTCTCGCTTTCATAGACTTTTCGAACTTCGACCTGATGCCCGCAAACTTGTCCTTCGGTTTTGTGTCATCATCCGCCTGAGTAGACTCCGCGGCTCGGGCAGACTTCTTCGAGTCCTTGGCGCTCTTCTCCTTGACATCTTCTAGATTCGCAGGTTCCTCAGCCGATTCAACAGCAGTTCCTGATGTTCGTCGCTTCGAGTGCTTCGATTTCTTCTTGTCTTTAGCGTCCTTGCTTGGAGAAGACGCTTCGCTGCGGAGCGTCGAGACAGCACTCTCCTTCGGGGCCGATTCTTCCGGAACAGCACCGTCGGCCGCCCCCGTGGATCGCTTTCTCTTCTTGCGGACGTCTGAGGATGGAGTGGAGTCGGTTGCAGCACTCGGATCTTTCTTGGATTTCTTGGTCGGCGTGGGTGTCGAGGTAGCGACGGTGGAGCCATCGAGGTCTCTCTTCCTCTTGTGGGACTTCTTCGTGCTCGACGGGGTGCCTGAGCTCATGTGGGATGTTTCCTGACGCGCGGAGCGGTCGCCGGCCATGATCGCGAGGTCAAAAAGGGTCCTGGGCGGACTTTCGAAGAGGGCTGAATTGGAAATGCGGCGATCTTGCCTGTTGTTGCGAGTCTTTCTTTTTTCCAGCGGGGAATCTTTGAGACGGCAGAACAACACCACCGCCCGCATCGCCGCCCGCGCGTGGCCCTTTCGGGATGGCCTCATTCGGCCTCCTTTCTCCTCCTATCGCTCTCACAGCCTCCCTTTTTTTTTGTGGCTTGGACGTGGTGATTGAATGTGATATGGATGGCGGATGAGCGGATCTGATTGACAACTGCGCAGAGTCTCTCGAAGCCAGCTCAGGACCAGCCGCAGCCATGCCTTACAACATTGCGTGAGTCCCGTCGCATGTGGTTGTCGGAGCGAGTCTAATGGTCTGCACAGTATGGTCAGTGACTTCTTCTTCCCCCAACCAGGTAGGCACACTGCCCTCCAATTTTCGGCCATGTGCTGACATCCTGAGATCAACAGGTGGGGTGGAAAGTCACATCTACCAGCTCTCGACCGTAAGCGACTATACTTCATCCCTACCCTCCATGATGGTATACTCACCAGTCGAACAGAAGCTCATCGATCGCGGACACAAGGTCATCATTATCACACATGCTTACAAAGGGCGGACGGGGGTGCGATACTTGACAAACGGGCTCAAGGTATACCATGTCCCATTCTTTGTGATTCACCGGGAGTCGACCATGCCGACGGTCTTCTCGTTCTTTCCGATCTTCCGCAATATTGTCATCCGTGAACAAATCCAGATCGTGCATGGGCATGCGAGCTTGAGTAGCTTCTGTCATGAAGCCATTCTCCATGCGCGCACCATGGGTCTTCGGACAGTGTTCACCGACCATTCGCTGTTTGGTTTTGCAGATGCGGCATCCATCTTGACCAACAAACTGCTCAAGTTTATCTTGAGTGATGTTGACCATGTTATTTGTGTCAGTCATACTTGGTAAGTAGACTTAACCGCAGTACCTTCCGGAAAGCCCCGGCTGACCTCTGCGCAGTAAAGAGAATACAGTGCTTCGAGCCTCCCTGGACCCGCTGATGGTGTCTGTGATCCCGAACGCAGTGGTGGCTGAGAACTTCCGGCCGGCAGAACCTCGGTCGGTGAAGCCCATCGGCCCTAACGACACTATCACGATCGTTGTCATCTCCCGTCTCTTCTACAATAAGGGTACCGATCTGCTCATCGCGGCTATCCCGAGAATCCTCGCGTCGCACCCGAATGTACGTTTCATCATTGCGGGGTCCGGTCCCAAGGCGATCGATCTGGAGCAGATGTTGGAGCGCAACGTGTTGCAGGACAAGGTTGAAATGCTAGGACCTGTCCGGCATGAGGAGGTTCGGGACGTCATGGTCCGTGGCCACATCTACCTTCACCCTAGCTTGACCGAAGCCTTCGGCACAGTCATAGTCGAGGCCGCCAGCTGCGGACTGTACGTGGTGTGCACACGAGTTGGTGGTATCCCCGAGGTGCTGCCTCAGCACATGACGACGTTCTCAAAGCCCGAGGAGGACGATATTGTTCTAGCAACTGGCAAGGCCATCGCTGCCTTGCGGTCGAACAAGGTGCGGACGGATCGTTTCCATGATCAAGTGAAGATGATGTATTCCTGGACCGACGTTGCGCAGCGCACCGAGCGAGTCTACCAGGGGATCTCCGGGGATATTAGCCCGGAGGAGTTCTACGGATACTACCCGGGCGAGGGACTGGAGGCTAGCGGCGACCGTGTACGGAGCTTTGCGCTGATCGACCGGCTCAAACGATACTATGGATGTGGTGTGTGGGCAGGCAAGCTCTTCTGCCTGTGTGTGGTGATTGACTTTCTTCTCTACGCCTTCTTGGAGATGTGGTTCCCGCGAGCGAACATCGACATTGCACGCAGCTGGCCGAAGAAAATACGCCAACGGAACGACAACCACCCACTCGTGAACGACCAGAAGAACGACCGTGACCGCCTACATGCCAACTGACCAAGATTCTTATTTTTCTTTACAATACCCATTCACATTTACCATTACCGATCCACATTTCCACTGCTGTTCATAGACAACCTTCAGATACCCTTCATGGCAAGCATCGTTGGATTCTTTTCTCATCAAGAGTAATCATACATGAGCATTCGTGGGAAACCTTCTCGCTCGAAAAAGAAAAACAAAAACAGATTCCTTTTGTGTCCATAAGAGATTCACCAGGGTCCAGCCCCGACATTTTCGTTGAAGACTCAGTGCTTGTGGGTGTTGTCCCGCTTGGTGCCGGGCTCATACTTCCACTCGGCAGCAGCGGTGGTAGCGGGCTCGGGCTGGCGGTCCTCGGCAGCGAGCGCACCCTTGTCGCCGCGCTGGCCGGCGAGATGGCCCTCCTCGCGGTCGAGCGCCCGCTGGCCGGGGATGTCGCGCTCGAACTTGCTGTCGGCGTAGGCGCCAACCTTCTCGAGGCCGGCGGTCTGGCGCTTGCGGCCGGGCTGGCCGTCGTGGCGCAGCTCGGCGCTGGTTTGGCCGGAGCCCGGGTGGCCCAGGCCGGTGTGCACGTCCTGCGAGGTGGCGCCCATCAGGGTGTCGGCGGCGGAGGTCTTGACGGACTCCTTGCCGTGGCTCCGCTCGACGTTGGGGTTCAGGGCCTGGCCGCCGACCTCGCCGGTGGTGTTGGCGCTGTAGGAGCTGGAGGCGGGCGCCGTGCCGGCCGGGTGCGTCTGGGCGCGGAACTCGGGGGCGAAGTCGGCGGGCGCGACCTTGCGGCCGGGTTGGTGCTGCTCGACTGTTAGCTTGCTTGCCGGGCTTTTTCCAAACCAGGCGACGACCAAGGGGATACATACACCTCCCTCCTCCAGAGGAGCGGTCGGCTTGACGGAGGGCTTGAACTCGCCCTGCTGGGGGTTGGCAACGGAGTCGGGGTTGCTGAAGTGGCTCATTTTGGATGATGTGTTGATAACGTTATAGACTGTTGGTATAGACTGAATACTATACGTATAATAAGATGTTAAGAAAAAAGAGGTAGTGTCGCGTGATCCGTAAGCGTTCTGTGAATAACGTTTTGAATTGATTTCCAGAGCTCGAGCATGGACGGACGCACCTTATAAGTAAGGGAGGGGGACCAAAGCTACACAGCAGGTAATTTAGGGCTTCCGAATCCAGACGGCGGGCGGCGGGAAGAGGAGGGGGGGGGGGTTTACGTCAAGGTGACTTCGACTGACTTCATCTCCCTCCCTCACCCTTGAGTAAGTTATTTGAGATAACGTCATGCCATGCATGGATTGCATGCAATTCAACGGGTCTGGACTTTTGTTGTACTGGGGGTTTTCGGACAGGGCCGGTTTTGGGTGTGTCGGGCTTGCTAGCTGTGTTGGTAGCATATCTATCTGATGAGAAGTACATACTATGTAGTGGTTTGATCGGGTGGGTACTTGCGGTCGGATGAGTATGCTCCGTAAGATTGATGATGTGAGTGCTGTGTTGGGTTGGTCGTACACATGTACTGTGCTGTGACATGGTCGATCGATCGATGCCTGATGATGTATGTGAGGTGAGGTGAGGTGAGGCCTTACCATACCTCTCTCTACATTGGCAAGCTCTCTCGACTTGTATCTAGTTCTATTGACCGATGCAATAAGGTGGCTAAGCACATGGGAACTCCAACAGGTATCATCAAGAATCACACAGAAGCAGAAATCATTTCAATCAGGTTAGGTATCTCTCATAAACAGGATGCTCCCAGGCGCCGAACGACAAAACAAAGATATTTCAAAAGGGCGGGATTTCCCACCGGAGGTGAGGATTAGAAGACGGGGCATGCCCGACAGAAGTATAGATGGGGACAATCACCGCATCACCGGCGGCCGACCCTCCTTATTCCACTTCACACGACTCTGCACCCACTCCACCGCCTCCTGCACGCCGGACCCCATCAGCGCACTCACCGGCAGCACGCGACTGTCGCGCACGCCCGCCCCGGACTCCCCCTCGAACACCTTGCGCACGAACCCCTCCTTGATGCGGACGACCTCGACCGAGTCCTCCCGATCCTGCTTGTTGGCCAGCACCAGGATGGGCACCCCGGCCACGTCGGCGTGCTTGAGCACCGACTCCAGCACCCGCCGGCACTCGTCCAGCCGCCCGAAGTCACTCCCGGGGGCGTTGATCCCGACGTTCTCGGCCGTGAAGGTGATCTGTGTTGGGGAGGTGGCTCCGAGGTCGGCGCCGTCCTCGTCCTCGTCCTCGTCCTCGTCCTGCTGCTCCGCGTCTGCAGCGGCAGTCTTGTCGGCATCGGCGGCAACACCCCCGCTCGCGCGGCGCCGCTGCGGAAGGCGCGTGATGTCCGGGTCCTGGCCGACGTCGGCGCTGTCGACGACGAAGATGATGGCGTGGCAGCTGGTGTAGTAGCTCTGCCAGAGGTTGCGCATGGAGATCTGGCCGCCCACGTCCCAGATCTTCAGGTACATGTCCGGCAGCGAGATGGTGGCGACGTTCTGGCCGACGGTGGGGACGGTCTTGCCGATGCTGGCGGGGAGGAGCGAGGTCGGGAGGCTGCCATCGGCGCGCGGGGGCTGGTAGAGGGCTTTGATCTGGGAGAGGAGGGTGGTTTTGCCGGCGTTGTCGAGGCCAAGGAGGAGGACGGAGTATTCTGTGGGTTGGAGTCAGTTGGGGGTGAGTTCTCGGAAGTGTAGAAGGGGAGGGAGAAAGGCATGGGATGGGATGGGGATGGGGACTCACCCTCTTTACTCGTAGCGTACATGTACAGCGACTTGGCGAGGTGATACATGGTGATGTGGCGGGTGGTGGAGGTGATTGCAACAACCCCTCTTCGGAGGATCCGATCAATTTGGACGGGGATAGATGTGGCGGAGTGTCGATCGTGTCATGTCATGTCATGTCATGTCATGTCATGGCAGCGTGGTGGTGCGAGATGCGCTCTCCGTCCTGTCTTCCTGTCTTCCTGTCTTCCTCTTTCTCCGCTGAGATGCCCGCTTATCATGAAGGCGAGGCCGACGCCATGCGGGAGGCTCCGCGTCAGCCTGTCCGTCCTGAAGCGGTAAGCAGGGCTTGGGTCATTGCCCTGAGCCCTAATTGCCCGAAACGTTGACCCCGCAGAGCCCGGAATGGCCATGTGAAATGAAATGAAATGCAGGGTCGATCCGTTGCCGGTCATTTAACTTGGATGATGCAGGAGGCAACCTGCAGGCGGACTTGCTTTATCATCGCATGGTCATGACACTGAATGGTGTGACTGTTGAGTTGTTGCTGGTGGTGGTGCTGGTGGTGGTATTCATATAAGAACAATGGCAGAACATCTTCAACTTCTCCTCCAACAAGTCCAATCCCCAGATTCATCGCTCTTTCAACACCGATTTCCTTGGCTGGGCGGGGGCGGAACCACGGCCAGGTCATGATTACATATTCTCGTCGTATTTCTAGAACTATTCCCCGATTACGGCCAAATCCCGACTTCTTCTTCTCCAACGCTCCAACGTGTTTTGTCAGCGAAAATCGAACGGTCTATTGTCCGCCTTGTCCGCCTGCGGAATTGCGCTTCCCTCCTCTCCTCCTCCTCCTCCTCCTCTTCTTTCTCCACCATCTTTTCCTTCTCCCAATTCTTCCCTCATTCTCTCTCCTCCAGCTCTCTCCCATGTAACGGCCGCTCGATGGCCTTCCGCTCGGCATCTGTCTGCTTTTCCGCTGGGATCCACTGATCGCATTCCCCCGCGCATGTCTCGGTCAGCATGCCCCGCGCTGGATGGCCGGCCGGCGGTCTCCCAGCGGCCTTCAATGGATAGCACTGACACCATCATTGTCGGTATGTCGTCATCTACATCCTCGCTCCTCGCAATTGGACCTTCTGTATGACCCAGACAACTCTAATCCTCCTACAGGGAACGGCCCGTCAGCCATGATCCTGTCCTACATCTTCCATGGTCATATTCCCTACTATCAAGCCGATCCGCCGCATCCGGATCCCCTGCTGCATGCCAAGCTGCTGCAGAACCCGGCCCTGCTTCAGGCCGACGTGAACACGCTGACCGAGCATTTTGCCGCCTCGCGCTTGTCCTACTCGACCCAGGCTCTGCCGGTCAACGTGCTCCTCGACACCCTGGTCCGACCCAGTCTGGACGTCGAGGAGCTGGAATGCGTCACCAACGTCGAATGGCGGTACGAGCCCGAAAAAGCCGTGCCCCATCTGGTGTTCGGCGACGCCGCGTGCGCTGGCGGTCAATGGACCGAGAATCCCATGCCTGCGAGCTGGGATATCCAGACCCTGAGCTATGCATCGATGTTGTCGCTGCCGGGGTATTCGTTCGCCGACCACCACCGGGCAGTGACCGGGAAGGATCTGCCGGCATTCACGCGGCCCAGCCGGCAGGAGACGGCGGATTACTTCCGTCGGTATCCCGGGGCCGTGCACATCGGCGATGTCTTCCGCTTCAACGAAACCCTGTCGGGGATCTCGCGCACGGACCAGGGCTTCTATATCCGCTCCCACAATCTCCATTGTAAACATCTGGTGCTGGCCACGGGCATCTTCACCGAGGTGCTGCAGCCTAGTTCACTGCTGCAGCCCTTGCGGTCCCTCGAACCGGTCCCCTCCATCCCGTTGCTGGTCATCGGCTCGGGATTCTCTGCGGCCGATGTCATCATTTCCGCTCCCAAGGATCAAAAGATCCTGCATGCCTTCAGGTGGGACCCCGAAGGCCGGCCGTCTCCTCTCCGGGGGTGCCATCACCAGGCTTACCCGGAATATGCCGGAGTGTATCGACTGATGAAACGGGCGGCACTGGCGGCGACCCCAGCACCGCCCAAACGGGGCAAGATGCGACGGACGACGTCGACGCCGTTCCTGGAATCGCGGAAATGGGACGACGTCTACGAGGGTCTCCCCAATCTGGAGATCGTGAACGTCGAGATGGAGGCCGACCAGACACTCGTCACGTTCCGTCAGCCCGACGGGCAAACACTCGTCCGTGCTGTTCGTGGGCTGGTCTATGCCACGGGCCGCCGTGGTACCCTGAAGTATCTCGATCCTTCTTTGCTCTCGGAAGTCTTGGGTCGGACCGATGTGGACTCGATTGTCACCAACCAGACATTACGCGACAAAGCACTTGACGACATGGAGGTGGCACCGGACGTCTTTGTCATTGGTAGCCTGACCGGGGACTCTCTAATCCGGTTCTCCTACGGGAGCTGCGTCCAGGCGGCCGGCAAGGTCATCGGAGCGTCAACGGGACAGGACTGGGTCTGGAACAGCTCGGCTCATACCTCGCGTCCATCATCGTCCTCCGTGGGGGTTCTGCGGGGGATTGACGGACATGACGTCTATCCGACGGGAGCAAGTTGTTTTCAGGGTGACGAGGAGCAATCGGTGTTATATACGATCCCGGAGCGAATCTTGCCCGGCGGCCTGTGGAAATGGCTCCGGAAATGGTGGAATGTGAATTGATAGGGTATGTGATGTATATGATAAGATCTATGTGGAACGGCCGTAGATCTGGCCACGGATTGATATGTTTATAATAGACATGATCTACTGCGTAGATTGTACATAGCTGTGATTGTTTATAATGCCAGATATATGATACTTGCTCAAACTTGCAGTGGCTTGACACATGTACGTAGTATCATAAAAAGTGGTTGACTGCTGGAGATATCACCCATATCCACCCACGAACTATCGTCAACCCACTCAACCCATAATCTGCAACTGGTCGTCCGGCGGCCACCGAGTCTGCGCGAAGCTGAGGCACCGCTTGATACTCTGGAGATACTTGCGAGTGCTCTCGTCGCTTAGAATGTGGGCCTGCTGATCACTCTGATGCAGCTTCTCGCGCGCCGAACGCTCGTGGATACCCACCATGGTCACACCGATGGGCCACGCACTGCAACACCAGTATCAACAACGCGTTAGCCAACATTCATCCCAGGAAGAAAAACAGGGGGACATACGCTTTCCCAATACTCAATCGCAGATACGCATCATTGGCATCGACATAGCGGCGCAGCTGCGCCTTGTGCACAATCTCAACCACATGCTCCAAGACCCCGGCATCCAGATCCCCCTTCTCGAACTTGCGGAACAGCGGCTTCATATTCTCCCGCGACTGCACCATGGCATTGAATGCCTGCCGGCCCTGCAGACTCTGCTTGACCGAGACATCGCGCTTCGCCAGCGCATCCTCCCACTCCTTCAGGACCATAGTAAAATACGAGGCCAGCTGCCGAAACAAGAACCGCTTCCCGTCATCCTCCTTCGGCACCGTGGCCGGAATCTTCATCTCCACCTCCGGCACCAGCTCCAGCGTCGTGGGAATCGGCCCGTCCGTCCACTGTTGTCGCTGCACCGCTGCTGCACCACCACCCGTGTTGGAATCATCCTTCCTAACGACCCGCCAATACCGGCGCGCGCGCGCTTTCTCCCCCTCCCCGAAGAGCGTCACCGGCTCCCCCAGCTCCCGGAGCCGCTGCTTCACCTCCTCCGCCGCGAGTTCCTCGTCCCCTGGCCCCGCCCCCGCGGCAGTCTCATCCCCTGAAGGAGTCAGCTCCGGCAACCCCAGCCGCCGCCGCCGCTCGCGCTCCCGCAGGGCCTCTTCCTCCTCCCGCCGCCGCCGCGACTCCTCGGCCAGCCGCCGCTTCTTGTCCTCGCGCTCGCGCCGGCGCGCGGCCTCTTCGTCCTCGGCTTTGCGCTTCTGGGCGTGTCGGGCGGCGCGCTCGGCGGCCAGGCGCGCTTGCTCTTCGTTGTAGGCGGCCAGGCGCGCGGCTTCGAGGTCGGCGCGGCGGGTGTATTTTTTGGGTTCGGTGGTGGTGGGGGCGTCGGTTGGGGGGGTGGTGGTGGTGGTGGGTGCTGGGGTTGGTGATGGGGAGGGTTTTTGGGCGGTGGCGCTGGCTTTGGCCTTGGAGATTTCTTTGGACATCAGGGCGGCGAAGTCCATTTTTGCGGTTGGGGGTTCATGTAACTAAGAAATAAATGAGAGGAGTGTGAGAGCGTACAGTGTGGTCTGGGGGTGTACTGTTCTCTGTACTGGAGAACGGTGGGAAGACGATAAGATTAGGTGATGATGGGAACTGGGAATTGCCGCTGCGGCGGCGGCGGCGGCGGTGACTTCGCGCAGGGCGGTAGAGCGGTAGGGCGGAGAGGGTGCGTTCGCTGCAGTGGGTAAGGTACAGTCCAGGTTCCGCGCATCCATCCTCACTCTCCAAGCTACACCGACCACCTACCTCCTACCTACCTTACTCCATCAACTACAACAACACCACAACCTCAATCACCTATCCACCGGTCCACTCTAGACTCAGAAGACACACAATCCAACAAGTCAAAAACCCGCTATGACCACCAACTAAGAAACCAAACCAACCCAAACAAACCAGCAAGACCACCACCAACCCAAAATGTCCCGCCAAACCACCACCCCCTTCCACCTCAAACTCTTCTACCGCCAATCCACCTACCACCCCTTATCGGACTTCTCCCCGGCCCCGGCCGGTTCCGCTCACCCCGGCGACCGCACCACCACCACCCCGCGCGGCAGTCTCCCCGCCCACCACCTCCAGATCTACACCTGGCCGACCTGCTCCCTGCGCGAGCTCGCCCACCTCCTGACCTCCACCCTGCCGCACCTCCTCCCGGAGGTGCCCATCGGCACGCGGCTGAGCTTCCGGCTGATCTACCCGGACACCAAAGGCGCGGCGATGAATCTGGGCGACCACGGCCGGGGCCGGTACCTCGCCAAGGAGATGGGGAGTGTGGTGATTGCGCCGCGGGGGTATGAAGATGCTGATGACGTGGATGGTGACGGTGCTGGTGATCATCAAGAGGAGAAGCGCGATGGGGAGGGAGGGGGTGGGCAAGGTCCCCGGGCCAGGGCTGCCGCTGCTGGCGCGTTCCGGATGAGTGGTGCGGATGCCGAAAAGACGTTGCAGGATTTTCGGTTCGTGATTGGCGATTATGTCGATTGCGCGATTGTGCCCCCGCTGGAGGACGGGTCCGTGGCGCCGCCGCCGCCGGTTGGGGCGGGAGGAGGAGGTGGAGGTGGGGGGATGAGGGCGTTTCCTTCGGCAAGGGAGGAGAGATCGTATTTTGGACGGGGTGGGGGGAGAGGGGGACGCGGGTTTGGAGGTGGGCTTGGGGATAGGGAGAGGGAGAGGGAGAGGGAGAGGATCCCGCCGGGGGATTGGAGGCGCGGGGAGCGGTTGCCTGAGGGTGGTGGTGGTGGTGGTGGTGGTGGCGGTGGTGGGTATGGATCTGGGAGACGGGAGAATGGGGGGAGGGATCGGGATAGGGATGGGGGGAGGAGAGGGTGGATGCCTTATTAGTCCTGGTGCTGGGGGTATCCAGTGAAGCGTTGTGGTGGTAGTGTGGGCGGCTGGGATTGAGGTGTGTACGATAGTGAGGCGAGTGGAATGGATTATACCCCGTTTCAACTGCTGGGGAATCAACTGCCTGTCCTGTTGTTTAAATGCTACGAGATTACAGCAAATGCATCCTCATCTTAAATACTACGAGCTACCAGCCTACAGAAACATCCAAGATCCCACCCCCGATAAAAACGAAACGAAATCAATTGCACCGCGGTATCATAGATACAACCCCCATCCTTCTGTCCTGCTATCACCCCATTCCATCAAACTCGTCAAATCAGCCCCCTCTACCACTCCACAATGGTATCTCCCTTCCGCTTGCCGCGCAGATCGTATTTGCCCTGTCCAGGTTAGCCACTCCCTCCCACCCCAGAAGAAAAAAAAAAACTTACATCGGTGTTATAAGCCACATAGCCCAACGCTCCCGGGATCAGAGCCATGTACAGGAAAGAGAACCAGGCATGGCGCGGCGTCCACCGGAAGTACTTGTACCGGTTGGCGGTGAGGTCTGGTGATCGTTAGCATGCCCCCTGTGATCAGGACATTATAGCCGTCGATTCGAGCGTGTCGTTTAGCTGAATTGAGCGGGTGCCGTTCGAACACCAGCCGGGGGGAGGGGGTTTCACGGACCGTAGTATTTCTGGAGGGCCGGGTCGAGGATCAAAGCTGTGCGAGGCGGTTAGTGATCTCGTTGCCATGCAATTGATTCGGGGGGAGTGAGGGACGTACACTTGCTGGGACCGGCCATGGTGGGCGGATGTGGATGCGAATGCGAATGGGCAGGGAAAGGCTCACGGCTTGTGCTTGCAGCTGTCGCTGTCGCTGTCGCTCCACTGACGGTGATGTCGCGGGTGAGGGAACGACGTTGCGGTCAGGTGATCTGCATAGCATATAGCATGTGCTGATGCTTAGTAATTGTGCTGCGGATTATGCTTCGTAACTGTGCTGCAGGTTGTGCTGTGTATCGCTGAGTCAGCGAGATAATGATGCACAGGCTGCAGGGGTTATTTACTAGTGAGATACTGCACAGTTCACGCCCTCCTCATTTTGAAGAATTGAAGGCTGGCGCAGCACTAAGCAGCAACATGTGAAAGATCTCCGACAAAAAGCATCCGCCGATCTCATGATCCCGAAAATGGGAAGAATGGGCTGTGCCAAAGAACCGAGACAAAGAGCACAACGGTCACCCCACCGCCATGACGCAGTATCACAGGTTCTCACAGCAGTACATCCGAGGTTCCCTTTCCCCAGCAATCTTCGCCTTAAATGATATTCCCTGCCCCTTGCACACCCACCTGAATTTACATCCACCTACACCGTGGCAAAGCACAGCACCAAAATGACGGACCCCAACAAAGGCGCCAAAATCACCCTCTACTGGTACGGTCCCCCTCCCCACAATCGCACCGCACCGCACCGCATCCACGCTAATTCTCCGGATCAAGGCTCGCGCAATCCCGCTCCCACCGCATCCTCTGGCTCCTCGAAGCGCTACACCTCACCTACGAGCTAAAGATCTACCACCGCGGCGCCGACAAGCTCGCGCCGCGCGAGCTGAAGGAGATCCACCCGCTGGGCAAGTCGCCGGTGATCACCGTCCAGCCGGCTGCAGCCTCGGGGGAGGGCCAGGAAGCCGCCCCCAAACCCATCGTGCTGGCCGAATCCGGCCTGATCATCGAATACCTCCTCGACCACTACGGCGCCAACGCCGATCACCCCCTCATCCCGGAGCGGTATGCCGCGGGCCCCGAAGCCGGGACGGTGGGCGGCGAGACCGACTCGTGGCTGCGGTATCGGTACTACCTGCACTACGCGGAGGGCTCGCTGATGCCGTTTCTGGTGATGCAGTTGGTGATGGATAGTACGTTGCCCTTTCCCTTTTCCCGAAGATTCCCATTCCTTCGGTCTGTATGCTGCGAGCTTGTTCAGAGTGTGAAGTGTACTGTACTAATGTGTGGCCGTGCGCGACCGACCGACAGCCGTCAAAAACCCGCCCATCCCGTTCTTCCTCAAACCCCTGCCGCGGGCGGTGGCCGGGCAGGTCGAGAAGGCGTTCCTGAACCGCAACATCGCCGCGCATCTGGAGTTCCTCGAGGAGCAGCTGCGCTCGAGCCCCGGCGGCGGGCCGTACCTGTGCGGGCCGGTGCTGACGGCGGCGGATATCATGATGAGCTTTCCGGTGATCGCGATGGCCGGCCGGCTGTCGATGGAGGGGTACCCGGAGTTGCGCCGGTATGCGGAGTTGCTGCAAAAGGAGGAGGGGTATGTGGCGGCGTGTCGGAAGATCGAGGAGGCGGATGGGAAGTTTGAGGCGTCTCTTTAGTTTTTTTTGTTTCTGTATGTACTTATGTGTGTATGTTAGGATCGTAATGTAATGTCTGTCATTCAGCTGCGTTCATTTGAAGAGGATACTATGTATAGTATAGTATAGTAGTACAGTATATACCCCCCCCCCCCCCACTCCCCACCCTAGCTATATACAGCACAGCACGGCATAATCAAACCACAACCTCAACCCTTAGACTCCACCATATAATCAATCCAGAGTCAAGCAACGCAAAGCAAAGCAAAGCAAGCAGAACTAAAGCTTAAACTTGCTCGCAATCTCCTCCTCACTAAACCGCCGCGTCTTGCGCCGTAACATCTCCGCCTTTTCTTCCAGGGTCATCCCAATCTGCTCCCCCATGGGCACGAGACACTTGGCCAGATGCAGGTAATCCTTGCGGAGGAGGCGGATGGTGATCATGATGTAATCGATATTCCGGAAGACGAGGGCCTGCTCGGCGGCGTAGCGGCGGTGCTGGCGCAGGAAGGCGACGGGGTGGTCGCGCCAGTGGCGGCGGGGGTTGAGGTGGTGCGAGGTGTGGTAGCCGTCGTTGTAGCAGAAGCGGTTGCTCTATTGTCTGTCAGTGTGTATACCGTATAGGGGGGGGGGTGTTGTGGCAAGACAGTCGTGGGGAGCAGAGCGCTTCCCCCTTCCCCTCAACTCATCCCACCCAAGGCAAGGCAAGGCAAAACGCACCGCAACATCAATCAACGTAATACTACTCCGAAAATCCGAATTGGGGTCCGTCTCATCCACGAGCGCATGCTGGCCCCAATTGCCGACCATCAAGCCCACCCGCAACTGCAACAAGGGCAGCAGCAGCACAAACAACGTCGGCCGCCAGCCGGCCCAGCTCCACGCCGCGGCGATCATGGCGTACGTGCCGACCTCCCACAGCCCCGCCTTCGCCGCGGTGAGCACCTGCCCGCGCCGCAGGAAGTACGCGGGCAGCTCCACCCACACCAGGAAGTAGAAGCGGGCCACGTAGCAGGCGAAATCCCGCGGGGAGTCGCGCTGGTACCGCAGGGTGCTGGACAGGTCGCGGGGCCCGTTGCCCTCGACGTGGTGATGTTTCACATGGTGATAAAAGTAGGAGTTCCAGGTGTGGCCCATCAGCGGGTCGAGGAGGTAGGGGAAGACGGCGTCGACGAGGACGGCCAGCGGGTGGGCGCGCGTCAGGATCCCGCCCATGTGGATGTGCTGGTGCATCATCAGGGTGTAGGTGCCCACGTAGTAGGACTGCATGAGCCAGTGCAGGACGCCGTGCCACCAGTGGAACTGCCCGAAGAACAGGTACAGGGCGCTGGGGATCGAGGTCGAGAAGTACAGCAGCAGGTGCGTGAGCATCACCACGTCGGTCTCGACCCGCACGACGGACCGCGCGGCGCGGATGTACGGCTGCAGGAGGTATTCGTTGAGCACGCCGGGGAGTTGCGGCGTGAGCTGCGGCAGGTCCCAGGTCACGAAGACGGTGGGCGTGAAGGCACTGCTGGCCGGGCTGTTGAGCGCGGAGAGGTGCGTGATGGTCTTTTGGGTTGCTGGGTCAACCTCCTCTTCCGTTGCAAGTGCCCCGTTGGTGTTGTTGCCGTTGCCGTTGCCATTGCTATTGCCATTGGCGTTTGCTGTACCAGAATTAGCTGGGGATCATTGGTTGAAGGCAGGGACTGGGGAGGTACGTACGGTTTTTCTTCCCGGCGGCTGTGGCGGCGGCTGCTGCGGCCGCGGCCGGGGATTCCGCGTCTTTGAGCAGATGCTCCAGCACCAACCGGTCGGGGACCGTCAGGTTGGGGTCTATGAAGGTGGCTGGATCCATGCTGTGTGCTTGAAGTGGGAGGGGTCTAACCTAAAAACCTGGAAACCTGGAGGGCAGACCAGCTTTAGGTTGGATTTAAGATCCCCCCGGGGCTGATAAAAAGGGGGAAGATGATCCGAGTGGATCAGCCGATCCTTGGCATGTCAGATCGGTGGTGGAGTGGAGCTGGCTGTCTGGACTATAAGTCGGAAGTTATAGATGGGGAGTGCGGATACTTGGAAAAGTAGGAGGGAATGAGTCAAGACTGTCCGTATTTTCGAGTCGTGCTGCTGGCAATAATGTCATCGCATCTCATGCGGATCCCTCCGGTCGGATCCAGCGTGGTTGTAGCTTAACTTAGTGTACGGAGTAGTCATCAGATGATCCCATCAACCCTAATTCCATTGCGATTCCGGGGATGCGCAAGCAACCCGACTACAGCTGCTTACTTTACCCTGTACAGTACAGTAGATAAGCAGTCCCGATTCGATCTGCAATGGAACTTAGTGCCATGCGTTCCAGGCATGGTTAAGCTTAAACCGGTGTAACCCAAATTATGCCGAGTAAAGCCAGGGACCGTTGAGGGAGATCTGACTGGACTGCAATGGACGACGTCATTACTTTCCCCTCTCCGGTGGACCATTGAGTACAGTACAGTCGATGTACCACCAAGTACAAGTACCACCAAGTACCACCAAGTACCACTAAGTACCACTAAGTACCACTAAGTACCACTAAGTACCACTACTGGTACCACCTCAGCCCATAAGGCTTCCCTTATAACAAGCCAAACTTCCCCTCTCCCCGCATTACACCAACTCACCAACTCATAACTCCCCAACTCACAACTCACCATCCACCAAAATGAAACTCACCCTCTTCTCCACCAAATCCTACGACACCCACTACTTCACCACGACCCTCACAGCGGTGCAACCCACTATCCCGGAGCCCATCACGCTAACCGCGCACCCCTTCCCACTAACCCTATCCACCGTCCCGCTCGCCCGCAACAGCACGGCCATCTGCGTCTTCGTCAACGACACGCTACCGGCCCCGGTCCTCCACGCCCTCTGGGAAGCCGGCGTGCGCGCCATCCTCCTCCGCTGCGCGGGCTTCAACAACGTCGACCTGCCCGCCGCCGAAGCGCTGGGCTTCTTCGTGGCGAACGTGCCGTCGTACTCGCCCGAGGCCGTGGCCGAGTTCGCCGTCGCGCTGCTGCAGACGCTCAACCGGAAGACGCACCGGGCGTACAACCGCGTGCGCGAGGGCAACTTCAACCTCGAGGGGTTCCTGGGGATGACCCTCCATAACAAGAAGGTCGGGGTGGTGGGGCTGGGCCGCATCGGGATGGCGTTTGCGCGGATCATGCGCGGGTTCGGGTGCGAGGTCGTGGGGTTTGATCCGGTGCGGCAGCGGGGGTTTGCACGGCGGCAGGGGCAGCTGGGGACAGGTGGGGGGGAGGCTGAAGCTGGAGCTGGAGCTGAAGCTGGGGTGGAGGAGGGGCCAGCCGAGGCGGAGCAGGACGAATTCACCACGCAGTTGGCAGGCCGCTACGTCGGCGCCGTCGCGGACCTGCTCGCGCAGTCCGACATCGTCAGTCTGCACTGCCCGCTCACCGAGGCCACGAAGCACATCGTCAACGCCGAGTCGCTGCGCGGGCTCAAGCGCGGCGCCATCCTGGTCAACACCTCGCGCGGCGGGCTGATCCACACGCGCGACGCGATCGGGGCGCTCAAGGCCGGCACCCTGGGCGGGCTGGCGCTGGATGTCTACGAGCAGGAAGGCGATCTGTTCTACAACGACCACTCCGCGGAGATTATCCACGACGACACGCTGATGCGGCTGATGACCTTCCCCAATGTGCTGGTCGCCGGCCACCAGGCCTTCTTCACGCAGGAGGCCCTCGGCGAGATCGCCCAGGTGACGCTGTCCAACCTGGCGGACTTTGTGGGCAAGCGGCCGTGCCGGAACTCGCTGGTGCGCGAGGGCCATTTGTTTGTGGAGGAGGATAAGCAGCCGGTGCGGTTGTAGCTGCTGGTTAATGGGGTGGGGTGGCTGTTATCCACCTGTGTTCAATTTCACTCCAGGGCGGCTTCTCGTGACGATTGATTATCCAGTACGAGCATCATCTAGTTTGCAGGCTAGTCATGTATACGCTCGATTTACTGAATTCCAGGTGAAGCGTCATTGATTACAGCCGTTATGAATGCTTCCACAGGAGTCGCAGAATCAGCAATCTTGACACCTGTTTCCTCATTGCCTGGGCGGAGCCAACCACGCAATCTTCTATCAAAGGCACACCAAGGCAGTCCAAGCATTTGACCCATTTGCAGCGCGGTCACAGATTAGCTAGGCAGACACCCTGAATACGGTGGGCTATTGGTGCCAATCTGCACCAGCCCCTAATTCTGCTGGCAGTACGTACTAGTAGTCTATTTAGCAACTACCATTTCTGGGGCCTCTCCGTAAGGCTTCTTAAGCACCCACCACTTTGAGCAAGCCTTTGCACGTACAAACTATACTGTATATGATCTTCTACTTTTCTCACTGACGCTGCCTCTCATTGCAATGGTACGTCTCGCTTGTATCTCCTTTTCGGGCCTTATCTATGAGCTCCAGCGGTGTAATTGAACCAATTGTTTGTCTAATACCAGGCATAATTCTCCGCGGAGACGTCGATTAGCCAGGGGTAGTTGCCATCGTGGTGTTTCGAGCAGCCGCTTCCGAGCTTACCATTCTCCTTGACCATGGAATTGGCCTTTTTCTTATCTGCGTACAGCCACGCGTACTCGGAGCATCGACTAGCCGAGGACTTTCGCATAATGAGTGCCTTGCCCCTGGTATCGCTCATTGGATCAGTTACTGTCCTGCTTGAGCGGGAGATGAAGTCTTGGAACGCTTACCATCCAGCCTTCCCTTTTCTTGAGATGCTTGCCGGAGAGGAAGAAGCGGTTCCACACCCCGGCGTGCTCACCGGCTGGCTTGGACGTTTGGTGAGCTGGATTGCCATCCGTGTGGCTTCCACCAGGGGCTTGAGCCTGGATTCTCCGCAGTCTCGGAGTGCCAGATCCCACTTGATCCCGATGTATGCCTTCTCTGCTTTGGCAAGAACATTCTCGTGGACGGTCCGCTGAGCAGGGGAGGAGAAAGCAAATGGTAACAGAAACAAGCACAGAAGAACCAGTCTTGCGTACATCGTGACACACTGTGCTGGACTCTGCTTGGTTGTTGGGATTTGAAGAAGTTGACCCGAGTGGACCTGGATTCTCTCTGTTATTTATGCTTATGCTGAGCAAGTATGCCAGCATTATCATTCCTTCACCCTCTGTTCTTCTGTTCATTTACCCTTTTTAGAGATGAGTAGGACAGTTGGTAATAGCCCAAGGCAGCCCTTGAGCTCTCACTGCACCTGTCCTTCCTTCACTTCTGCATAGATATTCAGTAGAAAAGGCAGCTGAGACTTGGGGGAGATTAGAGAAAGTGAAAGGACTAAGGATGAATGGTGCGTGAGTGGACACCATACCACCGTACTGAATCACCAGAATGCACCGAAGCCCAATTGATAATCAAAAAGAAGAAAAGAAAATAAATAATTAAATAAAAGGCGCACACAGGCAGAATCAAACAACAGTGAGAGTAACGATATACCCACGACAGCCAAAAGAAAAAGAGAAAGCAAAAAACGACAGCAGTCGGATTTGAACCGACGCCTCCGAAGAGAATAGATTTCTAGTCTATCGCCTTAGACCGCTCGGCCATACTGTCTTCTCTGGTAGATGCTTATGTCAGTATAATATATATCCAGATGGCATCAGTGCACTTATTGTAACTCGACTAACTATAGTTCATGCTCGTCGAGTGACTCCAACACTAACACCCTGCAACAACTACCGAACAAGCAATGACACTCGTCGCCAAAAGCAGAAGCAGCCCTAGACCCACTGCCAACAACCCCCATACACCGGCGTAGCAAATCTAGCACTGTACATCATGCTAGTCTAATACAAGTCCATCCCAAACCCACCCAAGACCACAAGCCAGATTCCCCCTTCTACGAAGGCTGTGAGTAGACAATCGCGCGGTGGACTTGGAAGGTGTGACCCTGGCAGGAGATCGTCCGATCGGAGTATTCGCCCTGTTCGAGGAGGAGGTTGAGCATCCTCGTGAGGCGTGGATGGCTCGTTTGGTCTGTTGGCATTTGAGGAACTGAAATTGTGGTTGCGGATGCTGATGTAGAAGATACAACACAATCAGACGGGGGCATGAGAATGGCGGTGCGGCATCAGTATGAGGTCAATATGCATCGCCAGCTGGAATAGCACTCCTTAGTTGGGACCTCCGGGCCAGTCAGTGAGTTCGCTAGAGACCAAACATAACGATGCAAGCTCCCTTTGCCGCATGATGGAAGAAGGTCATTGACATATCAACATCTATCAAGAGCATGCATCCATGACTCTGCTCTCTCCACTCCCCCACAAACCCCTTATCTTTACCCCAAACCCCCTTATGCATCAAACAACAAACAGTATAGTACATATGCCCTACCTAACCCAAGAAGAACAACAAAAAAGAAGACAGATATCAAACCAAATCATCGATCATAATCATCATCGTCATCAGAATCAGCAAATCTACCAAATATATACCCTTCCAACCAGCCCCAACCCCTATACTATACTCATCTCCCCTCTCCCTCCCCCTCCCCAATCATCCCAACCAACTCCTCATACTCGCCCGTATTGCGCAACATATTCCAAAACACCCCCTGCTTGGCCACGAGATTACGCGGCGAATCGTTCCTATCAAGAAACACATTAGCCAAACTTCTACCACTTCGTAAAAAGAAAGGGAAGAAAGGGGCAGGCAACATACTCAACAATCTCCCCGCCCGCCATAACCAGCACGCGATCGTAATCCATAATTGTGCGCAAGCGATGCGCGATCGCGATGATCGTGCAGTCCGCGAACATCTCACGCAGCACCTGCTGCATGTGCATGTCCGTCTCATGGTCGACGGAGGCCGTCGCCTCGTCGAGGAGCACGACCTTCGAGCGCCGGCAGAGCGCGCGCGAGAGGCTCAGCACCTGGCGCTGGCCCTGACTGAAATTCTCGCCGTTGGCGGCGACGGGCGTGTCGAGGGTGAGGGGGCGGCGGGCAGGTTTGCTGGGGGTTTCCTCGGTGGACGAGGATGGGTGCGCGTGCCCGTGGTCGGGGACGGGGACGTGGATTGAGGAGGTGCAGGCCGATAAAGCCGACTGCAGTTCGGATTCGCTGGACTCGCCGAAGGGGTCCAGGTTCGACTGGACGGTCCCGGAGAAGAGGACGGGTTCCTGCGGGATCAGGGTGACGCTGGTGCGGAGGCGGTTCAGCAGGATCCGACTGACGTCGACCCCGTCGATGGTGATGGTGCCCCCGACGATGTCGACGAACCGCAGCAGGGACAACCCCAACGTACTCTTGCCGCTTCCGGTGCGGCCGACGATGCCGATGCGTTCGCCCGGGTGCGCGACAAAGGAGACACCGCGGAGGACATCGGGGCCGTCGGGCTGGTAGCGCGCGGTAACGTTGGAGAACTCCACGCGGCCAGAGGTGGGCCAGCTGGCCGGGAGGGTGGTCAGCGCCTTGTGGTGCTCTTCCTTGGTGAGATTCTCCTCGGGCTCAATCTCGGCGTATTCCTTCATGCGCTGGAAGGAGTTGAGCTCGATCTCCAATTCATTCATGGTCCGGACTAAGGTGAGGATCGTCTGGCTGAGGCCGATGGCGTTGGTCAGCGAGAAGCCCACGAGGCCGGCCGAGCCAGACCAGAAGTACGCGACGCAGCCGGCGGCGGCAGAGACCGAGGCAGCGCAGAAGTCGGACCGGACGGAAACCCAGCGGTTGCAGTTGTACTGCGCCTCGGCGGTGCGCGAGTGCACAGCTAGCTTTTCCGCTAGCATGGCCTGGAAGACCTGGTCCATACCAGTACGGGCACGGATCACGCTCAGACCAGAGATGGAGTCGGTAAAGTGTGAGAATACAGGGGAGTAACTGATAGAGCGAAGTCGCTTGATGGACACCTGGGCACGCGTGTACATCTCGCCCATGATGAAGCCCGCGGAGCAAATAATCGCGGCTGGGAGTGCGAAAATCGGCATGATAGAGGCAACGCTTGCGATCCGAAGCAGGAACCGCAGTGCGTTCTCGATGGACATCCGCAGCCACTCGACCAGAATCGTGTCCATCGACCGGGTGTCGTTTCCGAATCGATTGATAGCTCGTCCGATAGGGTTCTGGTCAAACCAAGAAATGGGCGCTGAGAGCACGGCGGTCACCAGCCTTTGATGCATGGTTTTGGCGGCTACCCAACTGCCATACTGGTATATAAGATTGTTGCAGACCTGCAGGAAGAGGAAAGTAAAGATAGCGGCCGCATAGATTCCCAGGTAGAACAGCGTGTCAACGTGTTCCTGTTCCTCGTACGCCCCTGTCCATATAGAGAGCCAGTAGGTGATGGAAAAGTAGGCAAACTGGACCGAGATGGTTGCTAGAATGACAAGAGGGGCATAGCCGACGCCGCCAAACAGACGCATATAGCTGAACACTAGATAAGCAGGTCAGTAAGGACCGTTTGTGGTAGGATGGTACCGTAAACTTACTTAGTGTGCGCGGGACACGTCCAGTAGAAGATGTTTCTTCGACAATCCGTCCTTGCGCAGTCTTCTGTTCTGTTACAGGGGGAACCGGGGGCACCGGAAGATCCGCCGAATTGAAGGGTTGCTCTACCACTGGCTCGTCCCCAACTGGTAACAAATCTGGCTCACTGCCAGGCGTGCTGCAGCCTGACGGCGACGCAAGGACCGGTGTGAGCGTCCGCGGAAGCGCTTGAACGGGGACCAGCTTGCCATGTTCAAGGCGAACAATGGACTCTGCATCTTGCAAAGCTGCGGGGTAGTGGGTGACCAGAACGACAGTCCTATCTTTAAGCAACCCACTACGGAAAGACTTCTCGTACACGAGACTAGCGGTGTGGGTGTCAAGGGCAGAAAAGATATCATCCAGCAGCAATGTTGACGATGACGAATACAAGGCCCGCGCAAAAGACACTCGTTGCTTCTGACCTCCCGACAGAGATGTACCCTTCTCTCCTACCCGGGTCATGTCACCAGCGGGGAGCTGTCTCAGATCCTGGGCCAGGCCACTTGCCTCAATAACCGTGGCATACCTACTCTCGTCGAAGGGACTGTAGAATACGATGTTCTGACGGATTGTATCGTTCTGGAGCCAAGGAGCCTGTGGAACATATGCAACATCCTGGGGACAGAATGCAGTGCCTGACTCCAGGACGGTCTCGCCCAGACATGAGAGCAGCAGGGTCGTCTTCCCACTACCCGTAGGGCCGGTCACGACGTTGAGCGAATTCGGCTTGAAACTGATGGTCACATCCTGCAGCCTGAAAGCGGCGACAGGCGATGGCTTGAAAGTCGCATTGATCAATTCCAGCGGACCCTCGGGATGCCGTTTGATCTCGCCCGCTGTCTCGAGAAAGTTGTCAATGCGGCGGAGTGATTCCGAGCCCTGCGCGGTGTATCTGCTGACGTTCGAAAGCCAGACAAATAAGACTCGCAGTGTTTCCATGATCGACAGGGAGGTAAACGCGACAGGGGCACGGAGTGGTTGACCTGTGAAAAGGATGTAGATCGAGAACATGACCAGCAAGCTCAGCAGCGGCAACAGCTCTCCAGCCATGGAAATCAACGCGGCATACACACTCCTCCACCACAGACGGCGTTGCTCCACGCGACGAACATCATTGATCGAATCGATGGCAGCATGTTCCCAACCAAAGTACTTCAACGTCCGGATCGAGTTCAGGTATTCGGAGATCTTGGATAATCGAGCGTCGGTAGCCCGCATAACAGAGCGTTGGATGCGAGATACCTTCCGTGACGCCAGAGCAGGAAGGGGTGACAAGCATAGTAACGTCAAGACCCCAAACAGCGATGGCCATCCAAGCATCTGGTACAGAAAGACCAGGGCCAGTGTGATGGATATCGGGCCTGCAGTAGCCAAGTAGAAGATATCACGGGAGTTGTAGATGGCGTCAACATCGTACGACATCAGACTCGTCAGGTTCGCTTGACTTGATTCCGGCGTCCCCTTTGGCCCGGCGCCGTGCCGAGATTTCTCCTTCTTAGCATGATGGTGATGCTCGCCGATAGAGCCATCGTAGATATAAGAGCGCATCGCAGTCTGATACAGCTCCTGAACGAGGGAAACGTTCACCCGAACAACAAGACGCGTGGAAGTGAAGATATACTGCTGATAACACAACGAGCGCGTGATTGGACCAACAAACAAGAGCGCAATCCACAACGCCGGGTGGAAAACCGCACTCTCAGGATCCTCCAGATACGCCAGTAGTCGCAGCATCGAATACGGCGCCATGAAATCAATCACCGCCGTCATGGCCGACCACGTCATCATGGTGTTGATCTCGGTCTTCAGCAAGCGGCACAGCGTGCGGAAGGTCTTGCCGCCTTTGCGGCGCTGTCTCTTGATCTTCTCCAGCCACCTCAAGGGTTCGTCGTAGGACGGCAAAGGAGGGAGATCGTCCATGGTCAGATCCCGACGACAACCCCGGAAGATCACGTAGGTGATCCACTCATACGAGCAGTAGTAGGAGAACAGGGAGCACGTCTCTTCCGGAGACGCTGCTTTCTCCTCCGTCACGGAACGCTCGATCTCCGCGTCGCGGATCATCGGCCGTCGTGGACGGGGCGTCCCGAGCGCGATCACCACCACAGCGGCCAAGCTAGCGACAATTCCCGCGCCGACAGTGCTCGGCCGGTAGGTCGCGTCGACGATCGTTATGGGCACCAAATCCTGCACCACGGCCAACGCCAGAGCCGCGACCACCACGCCGTTCATGCGCCGGTAGAGGTGTGTCCGATAGTCCTTGTTCTTGCAGCAAATATAGCCCACGCCCAGCAAAACCACGTACGTCAACAACAGAGACCGTTTCCAGCTGCCGCTGTGCCGCAGGTCGAGCCAGCTCAGACAGCAGGCGGCGAGCGCAGCAGCCAGGTGCGCGAATGCGGAGGGCAGGTGCACCAGGATCTCCGACGGGCCGTCTGCTGCTGCTGCGGACTTGAGGTTGTCGCGCGACTTGGGCCGACGACAGGCCCCATAAAGGAACCGCAGGAGGATCGGAAACAAAGCGATTGCCCATGATGCCAGTAATATAACTAGATGCAGGTTCCCTGTAGCTATAAAAGCCGACGCCCGCCGGGTGCGATTCTGCCATATACTTCTGCAAAGATGGCCCGCGTTTGTTAGTCCCAGCACCACACTGGAATTCCAGCATTGGGAAAACGAGCGACTCACCGCTGAGAAAGGCCATGGTCAGGAACAAATTCAGTGGTCTCCCCCGGCAGCTGAGCGATCACAGGCCCGATCGCTTGTTGAAAGGGCGCAACAAAGTACTCCATTGTGAGAAAGGGAAGGAGAGGAAGGGAGGGGGGAGAGAGAGAGCACACAGCAAGGAAAAAGGCTCAATCAACTCATGGGCACCAGCAAAGATCCCGTCATAACCGAGCACGCAAGCTTTGTGAGGCTTATCATCGGTCTCTCTGGTCGGCAACTGTTATTCGACGGCAGCAGCGCCCATTGCGTGTGCAGGAGGACAATTCGCCGGACAAAGGCCTAAGCAAGGGACTAGCAGCGCTAACTGGGGCTGGCGGGGAAAAGCTGAGTGTGGGAGGAGAGGGAGCTTGGAGAAGGGGAAATTTGGAGAGGGGAAGGAGGAGAAGGAGGAGGAAAGTGGTGTCATCGCTAACAGAGGAAAATAACGGACGTTGCCGATAGCGGGGGGTGGGAAAATTGAGGTAAACCTGCCAATGGAGAGGATAGTCTATCGGACCAAAACCCTGGCTCCGAACCATGGATGCGATGAGCGATGAAGGCCATGAGAGTGTGTCGCTGCCTGTGGCTGCCTGTGGCTGCCATCTGATAAGCCCTCTGCCAATGAGAGTAACGGAGCAACCGGCTGAGACTGGGTTGATGCCTAAGGCAGACAGTTCTCTTCCACTTTCCTCTGTATACACTTCAAGCAACATCCAGAGAACTTCCATGGTCAAGGACCACTCAAGGCTACTTGTAATATGCCGTACAGTACAAGTGGCAAGATGTCAATACTACTCTGTTCACTGAGGCACATATCATATCGGGACATTTCAGTCTCTCTTCTCATAACAAAGACAATAAACGATTAAACAATAACTGAAGATCTCCGGTCCTTAGACTACGCATGAATGACAGGACCGCGGGTACAACCCCACCCAAGGGCTTGAGGGCTTGACTCAGTATAATCAACGCCAGAGACCCCAAAGAAGCCTAAACAATGAGGGAGGCCACGGTGAGCCTTGTTCCTCCCGCGTACAATGGCACAGCCTACTGACTAGAATCTCAATTGTTGAACTGATCATGAGCCAGAGAATGACATTCTCCTTGATATTACCCTGTGAAAGTTGAATCCCAAACTTCCCAATGAACCTATAAAATGCTCCTGCCCACTCGTGATCTTCCGGCTCATTCACATACCACGCAGGTTCACATGAGTGCTCAGTGCTTTCTATGTATGATACATCCGTTAAGCAGAAGGGAAAGCTTCGCCGCGTGGAGTACAATAGTTGTTTAGCGCAAATCTCAAAAAGCCCACACCTGTGTGCCTGTAAGCCAAGCCATCCAAACCCAAACCCCCGCAACACATCGGGCAAAATGCTGGACTACCCCCATTATGCCGCTGACCTCACTAAGCAGCAGCTGAAGAAACTAATCGAAGTCCTGAGCATCGACAGCGACCAGGATGCCGCCGAGACCGAGTATCTCGGGCAGATCCGCAGCCCCCAGGTCGTGCAGCAGATCCAGGAAGCCATCCGCGGGCTGCCGACGGAGCTCCGCCAGCGCGCCAAGTGGGTGCGCATGCTGCGCCACGATGCGAAGGCCGCCGTGCTGTGCGAGGTGCACGAGGAGCTCAACGCCTTCGTCATCGGCAACCTCTTTGCGCTGCTCAAGCGGGAGGTGACCCGCAACCTGACCTTCCTGAAGTGGTACCGCGAGTTCTCGCCCGAGGAAGTCAACAACCTCGTCGACGCCCTGCTGGCGGTCGCCGGAATGTGGTGGCTGCCGGAGTCCAAGGACGACGTGCCCCCCACGGGAGCCGTCTGCTTCCAAGAGAACCAGTGCGAGGCGTGTATGCTGGCGAGGATCGTGGATGAGCCATGGTGCCTGCGCAATCTCCGCACAACGCTGGTCAGCCGCGTGCGAACCAAGCCCGAAATCCGGATCCCCAAGTTGCTCCCTTTTGTGGACACGGCCATCGGATCATTCGCCCCTGAGGGGGAGGCGGCAGTCAAGGCCTACGGCGGCCTTCCGTGCGAGCTGGGCTACACGAGCAGCTGCCTGGCCTTCAAGGTCAAGACCGCGCGCGCGGACGCTCTGTATGTTGCCGCGCGGCAGCTCCGTCAGGCGAACGACGTGATGCAAAGGGAGCAAGCCCTGAAAGACACGTTGCGGCACCGCACGCGCTCTCGCGCAGCAGATCAACCGTACCAACCAAAAAATATCATCTACAAGGAAAAGAACTCACAACAGGCAGATGTTCATTCCACGGTCCATCTCAGGGTGGCTCCTGGTTCTCGACGACGGAACGAGCCGGTCCAACAGCCCAAACATGCCAGAACCACACGGCTGCCGCACCTCGACAGTATCGCGGAGGAGACAGGTGTTGAGGATGTCGTCGTTGAGGAGGCTACCAAAGTACATGTTGATTACGCGGGAACCGCCACTTTGGTGACCCCGAGCCATTCGAAGTGCGCTGTTGACAATGTGGTAACAGTTCGTCCCTTGAACGTGAAAAAGCCGAGTCTGGGAGAGGAAAATGCTGCCCTGCTTCATAACGAAGCTGCCTTGCCAGAGGCCCGCATGATGAGAGTCCCTAACCCTGACAGTTCAGATTTGGAGGAAGACAGGCTGGAGCACGAGATTCAAGCGCTGTTGCTTCCGCACATTGCCAAGGTACCTCCCGTGGGTCCTAGATACTCCTCTTCGACCACAGGATTGACGCAACGCCGCCGAGCGGAGCGTTCCGAGGATCTAGATGACTTGGATCTGACCAGCATATGTAACGAAATAGGTCGGCAAGAAAAAGCTCTTTGGACGCCGACCTTCGTTGATCATATAGTATCGCAACCCTATCATCAAGACGGACCATCCTCGTCAGAGTATAGTAGTATCCACACCACCACGCGATCCGCGATTCCATTCTTCAATGAGTCCCGTACTAGCAGGCGGGATTAAAGGATTGAGGTGACTTGGCTGATTTCGTTGGTTGCAGAGGACGACGGCGTTTGGAGGTAGCAAGTTGAGTTTCCCATGTACATTGTATCTCAATTATAATATAAGCTTCATATAACAAGCTAATAAATAATAATGAAAAGAAGAGAAAAGTAAAAGCAGAAACCGGTCATTATTTCAAAGTCTCCCAGCCATGCGTGATAGTTCAGTTGCGGTCCAATGTCGTACTGAGCAAGAAGTAATGAGGCCATGGTACAGTCATAGTCAAGGGATCCGCGAGGCCGTAAAGGATATTAATACAGCATAAGACAAGGTCAAGGTAGCGAAGAGTAAACAGCGATATCCGCAATGATTAGGAGACGGCCTGCAACTCCCAAGACACCCGATAGTGTTAAATATTAGCAAGAAAATAGTTACAAGCAAACTTTAGGCGTACACAAGAGGGCAACGGCCGCCTTGAGTTTAGAGGACGCTGCTAGCGACCCCGTGACTCACTCCTTTGAACCCATCGACGTGGGGGGAGAGAGTCATGGTTTTTCTGCGTCGGGAGCGCGAGGTCGATTCGTCTGATGCCCGGCCGAGCGTGGGAGTTGAGGTCCCGGAAGAGGTCGGATCGCTACTTTCGTTGGCGATGCCGGCAGCTTCGTTGTCCACCTTCTTCTGGGCGGCTTCGCGAGACCGCTCATAGCGGAGCTTAACGTCGCCTTCCCATCGAGTTTTGAATAGACGATCCCAGATGGTGAAGAAGGGCTGCGAAAAGTTGGTTTTGATGCCCCAGCTTTGGTGGTGGATATCATGGTAGGCCGCATTGTTGGAGGTAAACTGCTGCAATGGGTCCCAAGGAAAAGCGTAGCCGCAGTGATCATCCACAGTTTTGATGGTGGAGAAAGTGAAAAACCACATGCCCTGACGGTTGCTCATGCCAGCCGTGAGGAATGCAACTCCAGTGCCGGCCGTATCAAGCAGAAAACCTTCGACGGGGTGGTTGTACAGAGCTCCGAACGCATACGGGACATACAAACGATGGTGGCGGGAATGGAAGGTCACTGATCGATGGTTAGTCTTATTCCAGGCTCATTTGGATCTCAAGCCTCGCGCAGTCAAAAGCTGCTGGTTCACTTACCATAGAGCCAACGGTTCATGTGCATTGCGCGGTGCAGGAAATACTGCCAGGTGTCGACGACACCGACGGCCCACACGAATTGCAGGGCAGGGATGAGGTACCAGTAGAGAGCACTGGCCGCTGACAGCTCCCAGTTGGTGAATGCCGGAACCTCGGCTTCCACCCCATTGTCCAAAATTATCGACTGAGTGCATCCCGGGTAGTGCCCGCCAGCTACCGCTCCTCCCAGCATTGACCAGCCATTCTGCGACAGATTCTTGCTGAGACCCAATGCGTCGATCCCGACCAGCGCCAGCAGCTGGGGGAGAGCCTTCTGCGCCAGGCGGAGTCGACGAGCCCAAACCGCAACATTGTATTCATCCTTACCCAAGTACTCCGGGTCATCGAAATACGCGACTGCCAGACCGGCCATGGTTTGGATGATTTGCTGAAGAATGACGTCCCTCACGACCTCCCAGCGTGTGACATGATTCCGCTTCAAGACTTCTGCGGGTGTGTGAAGACGGTATTGCGGGAAGTAGTCGTTGACATCGATGTAGTGATAGACCATCGACAGAGCCCAATAGGCGATGATGGGAAGCATGAGGGCGAGAACGTTATCCGGAATGGGGTCGAGAAGTGGAGGACGCGGAGTCAGGGTATAGGCCGGAAGAGGCGGAAGGTCGAAGACGACCGAGGTATTGGTAGCCATGGCGAGACGGCTTCGCAGTCGTAGACTGATGACGATTTGTGTATGTAGTAGGATAGCAAAGGAACAACCGGTCAAGCACACTGCCGCATGGGTGGCTTGAAAGTGCCGATGTGGAGGACGAAGCTACTGGTGCTCAGTCCGCTTGCAGATCTGGTCGGCGCTTAGATCGAAGGGAGGCTGGGTTTGAGAGTATAAGGGAGTTCCAACTAGCGATAGTGATTGACTAGAAGGAGATGAGGAGACGTGAAACCGGGGATAAATTAGAAAGATATAATCCGCACTATCCGGAGGTAAGTGGGACGGGGGGGAGGGGAGGGTGGGCGAGCGATCACTCCAGCAGTGGCGGGTGATATTGGTGGTGGTGGTGGTGGTGGTGAGATCCTCTGTGCTTCGGAATCCTAGCCCAGGGGAGCGGCCCACCAGAAATGAAAATCAGGGGACGAACGAGGCTGACACTCCCGGAGAACTGTTGGGGCTGGTAGGTATAGAACAAGAACACAAAAGTTCAAAGCACTCGAGACAGAAGAGAGAAAAGAAGATTGGGGTTCTTAGAGAATTCGAATTAAAGGAAGGACGAGGAGGTAGAGTTAAGGATAGTAGAAAATGATAGTTGAAGAATAGATCTTTTTTTTTTTTTAAGGAGGGTAAGATAAAGACTGACTGATCGAAGATTGGGAGGGGAAACGAAGAAGAGGAGGAGGCGAGAGAGAGAGAGAGAGAGTGAGCGAGTGAGAGAGCAGAAAGAGTAGCCGCAGTGGCACCACTAAAGCTACTCAGTCACTACTAACTAATGACCGTCAGGTATGGTAAGATGATTGAGTGGTTGGTGGCTGCAAACAGCAGACGGGAAGGCAAACGGGAGGCGGTCAGGTACCCGAAGACAGACATGTGACGAGATAATTTACCGGATAGAAATGGAGTGATGGCCGACGTTGATACCTCAGGCAGAAAGAGGGGATGCTTATGCGCATACTCCGTACTATGTACTGTACGGTACTCCCTAGTACGGAGTAATCTCAGATGATGCAGTGTAGTCTGCATTATACAGCAAGCAATCTCTATCCTGCCTCCAATTCAACCCAAAGAGACACAATAACCACTGTCTTCTTCCATTGCAGAACAGAAAACAACCCCACTCCTCTCTACGAGCACAGTATCAGATTTGCCATCGGACTTTTCCAGACTCCAGACTCTTTCGCTGATTCTCCCTCTCAGGCCGAGACAAATCGACCACTGCCCAAACCGGTTAGCGTATCCGTTTTGCCCCTCGAGGGAAAAAGAAGGAAAAAAGCCAGAAAGAAAAAAAAAAAAACGACCCCACCAAAGTTGGAGGGAAAACAGCGCCACTAAAAGCAATATTAATCTTCAACTCTTCCCCTCTTTTTCTCCTCTTCTTTTTCCCTTCCTTTCTTTTCCAGCCCCGTCTCTTTTTTACCCTCATCTTCATCTCTTTCCATCTTCACCCCCCTCACCAGTCAAAATGATTATCTTCGAGGTATGCTAATTCTTATCTGTCCTACTTGCGTTTCTGCGTGATTATGTCTCTGTTTCCCTTGGCAAAACAACCACGTTGCTGTTGGGGGGAAAGGCCGCTTTGCAGCCCAATGCAGCATGACATATAGGCAACCCGGCAGGAATGTCAACAACAACATCAACAACAGTAGCAAGCAAGCAAGCATCCTGTACATACTGCATGCAGCTGTCGCTGTTGGACCTGTCGCTTGCTCCTCTGCCGCTGCCTGTCACCTCTGGATTGCAATACACCCACTGTTCCAATAATAAACACCCCCACTAATGCATCAACCCTGGAATAGGACATTATCTCCGGCGACGAGATGGTCGCCGACACCTTCAACCTGAAGGTCGTCGACGGCGTTCTCTTCGAGTGCGACTGCCGCAAGTACATGAAGAGCACCAACGAGGACTTCCAGCTCGAGGGTGCCAACCCCTCCGCTGAGGGTGGTGATGAGGATGAGGGTGGTGAGGGTGAGAAGGTCATGGTCCACGACATCGAGGACCAGTTCCGTCTCGTCTGGCTCAAGACCGAGGAGGGTCTCAAGCCCTCCAAGGATGCCTTCAAGTCTCACCTCAAGAGTATGTTTCACTCAATCACACACAACCAAGAACTCAACCGGAAACAGCTGGCTAACTCGCGTCTCAAATAGGCTACATGAAGAAGGTCCTCAACAAGCTCACCGAGACCGGTGCCAGCGAGGAGACCATCAACGAGTTCAAGAAGGGTGCCCCCGGTGCCGTCAAGAAGATCCTGGCCAACTACGACAACTACGATGTCCTCATGGGTCAGTCCATGGACGGTGATGCTATGTATGTTCCCCTCAACAAAACAATCACACCGGAAAACTGCTAATCTGTCTCCAGGCACGTCCTCATTGACTTCCGTGATGACGGTGTCACCCCCTACGCCACCCTCTGGAAGCACGGTCTCCGCGAGGTCAAGGTCTAAGGGAATTACAAGTCAGCCTTTCAAAATAAAAAGATTAATTATACCCCCACTTGAACGTCCCGCTCCAATCCTCCAATCCTCAACCTTGTTGTGCGAAGAATGTTGTCATGAATCAAGAAAAATCTTGGTTTGAAAGCAGCAAACCACCGTTTGTTGCTTTTTAGACCAAAAGTCACGCCTCATGAATTCCATAACCTTTTTGAAAGTTTCCCCTATCTCCATTTCTTCAGACATCAATCCAGATCCGCATTACATGGTCTTCTGGGTATACATAGGATCTATCGAGTAAGAAGTAAAACCACACTCAATAAAGTCAAACACGCACTCTACATCACCAGACATCCGTTTAAACCCGCAATGTCGTATGGCGTATATTTATTACGCCTTGTAAACAAATGCAAGAGAGCTCAGATCACTTCATTTCGACTATGTATGAATTCAATAACCCGCCCAATGAGACCGATGCGAGGACATCTCTCCGCCCGTACCCGCACCAGGACTACTACTCCCCTGCACACCCAAATCCCCAAACTCCAGCCCGGTGACCGGGTCGAGCTCCATGAGCTCGTCGGCGACGGGCAGATGCTGCCCGAAGACGGCGTCCCACTGGTCCCAGTCGAAGTTTAGGTTCGGATCCACCATGGAGGGCGGGGTGGGGACCCCGGTCATGGCCTGCGTGGCGGGCGAGGCGGCGGCGACATCGACGAGGAAGGCGGGCAGCGCCGGAGGTGGTGCCGACGGCAGGGATTGTGGGTTGAAGGTGAAGCCTGGGTTCAGGCCTGGCGGGAGTAGGGGGGCTGTGTTCATGTTCGTGTTCTCGGAGGAGGACGTGGTCGAGGGGCCTCCGGGTTGGGTTAGGGGTGACGAGGGGGACGGTTCGCTGCTTGGTTGTTGTTGTTGGGCGACGGGGGAGGAGGAGGATGTGGAGGAGGGGCGGAGGTGGGGGTCAGGAGACATCATTTGGGGGCTGGCTGATTGCGAAGGGGATCTTCGCTGCTGTTGGTGATGCTGCTGGGTGGGAGAAGGGAGTTGGTAGCGGAGAGATGAGTTGGGGCGGATGTGAGATCGAGTCATGTTATGGAATAGCTTAGAGAAGTCCCTGGGTTGTCGCCGAGATGCAGCATCTGCTCCAGGGGCAGATGTATGGTCATCGGCGCTGGCGGCCACGCCCGCTTGGATCTGCGCCTGTTCGGACCATAGTCGACTAGGATCGAGTCCAGCTCGCTGCCAGGCCTGCTGCCGCAGCCGGCGGATCATGTCCCAGGCCTCGCGACCACCGTCGTTCAAGGGTCGTTGAGTCGAGATGCCATCTTCACCCCCAACAACTCCTCCATCCGGGCCTGTCATGGAGAAGATTTTGTCAATGTACGCCCGTGATTTTGGCGCCTCAGCGCTGTAGGGCCGTTCGTAAAGATCAATGAGCATGATCATGGTGGCATGCATGGGCTGGTGATTGCCGGGCCAGCTCCATTGGAATGGCTGGAAATCAGGGTCGGTTGCAAGAGAAACAAACTTCTCCATGAAACCATGACAATGGCGGAGAGCGCTACCCCGAGTCAGTAACTACCAGAGATATGGATCAAGTGGGACGCACCTTTGTCTCGCAGCCGGCCAGATCCGGCTCTTTGCGTTCTTTAGAAAAGGTTGATAGGCGACACAGAATGCCTAGCACCCGTTAGCATAGATTACGTGTGCTATAGGAGATTGAAGTGAGTTTACATACCTTGTCAATGAAGAGTGAGAGGACAATCCTGGCCCACTTGTGGAAAGACACAAGGACTGGAGAATGGTATTGCTCAGGACAGCCGTTCGGCCCTTCTCCGGGAAGCTCAATGTCGCTGCTGCGGTTTTCAGCAAGCGAGGAGGTAGACCAAGACCTAGTCGAGGGAACTGAAGAGACATCGGCCAAATCGGCTTCTGGTATACGGGAGACGATGGAGTTCAAGTTCTGCTGCAGCTCAACCAGAATCGACCTAAGCTCTTCCATATCCCGCCGTGTTAAGGGCCTGGTACCCAACTGGATTTTCAAAATCCGTCGAACAGCACCTGTAGAGCACAGATTAGACTTCCTATGCCACTGTTTCGCGTTGATTGAAACTTACGAGCCATCGTATACTTCCCCCGTGCGGCCAGATAGTAGACGTTGACCATCGAGGGACCGCCACAAATGGTTGGATCGTCCGGGTTGTCAGGAAGCCTGAGGCCGGTCATGACTAGCCGGTCGTACTTTTCAGCCTCTGGGGTACCGAGCAAGGTATCTTTCACCTCGCTACTGTCGCGAACATCCCAGTAGTTCTCGTCACTGACCAATGGGGGCAACCCACTGGACATGGCAACCACACCGTCCATATGGACGATATGCCACCATATGCGACGACGATACTCTGCTTCACAGGGGTCAATGCCGAATTTCGCAGGATCTCGATGCAACCCCATGGTTTGAGCTACCCTCATGGCGAGACTGACGAACAGACTGCTCGTTAGAGGCTCTTCTTCTTTCGCGAGTATCGTCTGAACTAAGAGATATGCAGCCAGGCCTTGCAGAGACGGACTTCGAGGGAAAGAGATTTTGGTCAACCATCTTGTCACTTCATCGTTGTATGCCTTGGAGAGCGTTGATCGGGACGACACATTGAATTCAGCCTTGATGGTTCGTAGTGATATCGTAACGGATCCACCATACCAGATGGCATAAAGCAACGGGATGAACGACGGGTCTGGGCAAGGGTCGCCTGAATAGCTGCTGGAGTCATACCAGTCCCAGAATGAGTAGTAGAGTTTGTGTATGGTCGGTGGGTGGATCACCGGAGTGATGGCGTGAACTCCAGACATGAATCCTTTGTACAGGATGTGACTTTGTCGCTTTGTTGGCATGTTCTCAAGCATTTCAGGCTCAACCACCTTTTCCTTGACCGAAGGTGATTCACCCGATGGAAACAGCACAGATTTCTGGAACCTTTCTCCCCGGGAAGCCTGATCGGTCACAAGCGCACCAGACACATCTGGCATTGGCTTCCATTGGCGGCTAGGTGTCGCTTCCATAGGTTCCGTAGTAGTATCTTCAGCAGAAGTGTCCTGGGAGTTCCGCTCATTATGCGAGCGGTGCTGGACCCTAAGTAGTTGATTGAGCTCGTTGATCTGCACTCCCGTTAGCAGCAAATACTGCAACAGTAGTCGATGAATTCAAATCGTACCTCATGTGAAATATAAGCCCAATACGTGGTTCCCACATATCTGCATCACGATAAGCCACACAGCCACTTCCCTTCCACACCAGGAAACCTACCTCGATCGACCTCCATCCTCCAAACTCAGATGACCCAGATTCAGACTCCCCACCGGATCGACCAAATCCGTAGCATGGCCGGCAGGGATCGGGAACTCATCCCCACTCGAATCCGCCACGCGACGCGGGCTATCCGAGCGCGCTGTATCGGAAGCCTTCGACGCAGCCTTCGACGCAGCCTTCGACGCAGCCGCCGCGCTGGCCACGCGAGGCTCCCTCTTTGATGAGTCCGAGCCCGCACTTTGCAACAGCAGCCGCTTCTCCGACGGATCCAATGCCTGACTGTTGGTTTTGCTGAGCCGCTCGATCATGGAAGTAAGCTTATCCAACCGCGCTTCGATCCCTTGCGACCCGAGCCTCTGCTCCGCCGAGCCGGACCGCTTCAAATGGCCGTAGATGGATTGGAGCTCATCCATGTCGTCGTCCAGCTGTTGCGACGACTCCCTCCGTCGCTTGACGCCTTGTCCGTCCTTGGCTTGCGCATTGTGCGCCTCCGCGTCTTTCTGCGCGGAGACATCGTAGATACATTCGGTTTCGTTCTTTTGGCAGTTACCGCAGATTGGATGGACCTGGGGATTCGCAAGGCGGATGGAGTCAACTTCAGGACGACTTGCGCGAATAGCAGAGTTTGTAATGTAGGGAATAGACATACCTTGTCGCATTTCACCTTCCGTCTCCGACAGGTATGACAGCTGTAGCTGGCGCGGTTGCGCGTGATCTGACGACCTCCCGTTTTCCCGGCCCGCGGCGCAGCGGAGGAGGAAGAGGAGGCAGAGGCAGGTGTGGCATCGTAGTTGCCATAGCGTCGCGGAGATTTAGCGCTGGGATTGGCTTGCCCTGGGTTGGAGGGGTTGCTGGGAGGTGAGCTGGTGTTCATGGTCCCTCGGTCGCAGTGGCGGGGTGCTGTGATCCATTGACGGCGCACGAGGGGTGATTCATGGGGGAGGCTGCTGCGCTTGGGCTAAGTCTCTTCAGTCCATGAGTGAATAGCGTGATAAGACTGAGTAATGCAATGACTTTCGCGCAGCGGGTGTGGAAATCGAGATGGTGGAATTATGAAAGAATAATTTCCAGTCGGCGGGGCTTCGATTAGGAGTGATTATGATTATTGATGGCATCCGGGGTAAGAAGAGCGTTATCGGCAATCGCCGTCATCTCGGCCAATGACAGCCGCCTCATACCCAAGCCAGCTACACACCGTCACCAGCTTCAGAACCTGTTTAAAAAATAGTTCCCTGTAGGTCGGAAGATAGATGCGAGAATGAGGACGATTGGATGCTGGCGCACTCTTGTAAAAGGCAGGTCTTATATCTACATTGAGAAAACAGCAAATGCCCTCGCCGCATGGGTGTTCTATCCTACGACACAAACCAAAAGGAATGATGGCTCCAATATCAACTTGGTATCATGAGAACAGCAATGATGCTCTTTATATCTGCAAGCAACAAAACGCCTTTCGCCCATGCCCATGCAACCCAAAGCATATATACTACGTGAACACACCACAAGGGTGGCGTAGATCAGACACCCTAACCTAAGCCTTGCCCTTCTTCTTGTCCTTCTTCTTCTTTTCACTGCCGCTGGGAGCAGCAGGGCTGCCGCCACCCAAGCCGCCCAGACCTCCTAAGCCGCCCATCATGTTCGCCAGATCCGCCATTCCGGGTATCTCGGGCATACCGGGCATGCCCTGCATGTTCTGCATCTCAGCCATGGCGTCCTTGAGCGGGTTGTCGCTGACACCGCCACCGCTGTAGGCAGGGGAGTGAATGGGGAGAATCTTTCCGATCTTCCAGCCGCGGGGAGCGGGGGGAGCGCCGGGGAGTTTCTCGGGCACCGGAAGGCCTCTGATTCTCAACCGGTAGGGCGATTCTTCGGTGGTGGGGTGAGCTTTGAGGTACTGCGCCACGAGGATGTATAGATGGTGTTCTAAACGAAGAAGTATTAGCGCCAACGCTCGTCGACTGGTGGTCCAGCAATAAGGATGGTGTAAGAATTTGGCATACTGTTCTTGATCTTCGGGTTGACCAATTGGCCACTCTCGTCCTTCAGCATCACGCGCACGCGACCAGGGTTGGCCCAGTCCTTGGGATGCAACTTCTCCGGCTCGAAGCCTACGGTCAGCCCCATCATCTGCACTGCATCGACGATGTCTCGAGCCAATGGGTTCTCGACGGCCAGCTCAGCGCCGACCTTGCGGCCCTCGGCGCGGGACCGGGACTTGTCGAAGTATATGGGGTACAAGCATTGGTAGTGTTTAGGAATCTCGCGCGTGGGCTCCGGGGGAGGCCTTGTGGGCATAGAGGACGTGGTGGGGACGACAGCAGGAGAAATGATGGAGTCGTTGGCGAAGCTGGCGGAGGGCGCAACTTCCTCGGGGTCGGAGTCGTACACCTCCTCGACTCGGGCTGCTCGCGACATGTTGAAAGGTTTTGTGTATTGCTCCGGTGAATTTGGATGTGGGTTGGATATCAGGTCGTATAGGGGAGGACGACGGGGAACTTGGAGATGTGGGAGGGAGCTTTGTTTGAGGTGGAGAAGAGGTCCGTTTGGCTGGCTGGCCTTTCTGTGCGGAAGGGAAGTTTTAGTGGCCGGCCGGCCAACTGGTGCGGAGCGGGACACTCGCTCTTCCACCGCCCGCCACAGCTAAGTTACAGCACAGCTCGTGGGAGCTACAGGTTGGAAATGCTCCGAGCCTCCGAGTACAATTTCGCGCATATACTGTCCATTCCAATAGGAACTGACAAGCCGGTATGCTCTCAGGCTGCTCTCACGTGATTCTAGTATATATACGAAAGCGCTTAAAGACCCTCATTAGAGTAATAATTTTCGCCATTATGGTTTCTTACCGAATCGCACCTCATCTGTGTCATCATTGAGGTAGATCGGACCACCTTGATGCTGCTAAGTTCCCTAAATTCCTACAATGTCAAGACGAGTATCTGTAGCATAGAGCTATAGTTGGAATCAGAACTCAAATGGACATCCGCTGTTGCCGGTACATTGCTAGGACTGCTTCGCTACCCTAGTTGGATGCTATGTACTGTACGAGATGGTCCATTGCCGATCATTGATCGCTTCTTATGACCCTATCTCTAGAGTAACCTCTCTAGCTCTCATATACTTATCTACGACTTATCTTCAATCACTCAGATATGGAAGTTTTATGAATTATCAAGTTATCACTGAGTCACTGTAAGTCAACCCCGGAGATCGGCCCCGTCGGCGGGGGGAGCCAACCACATCCTCGGCTTCTCCAGATGGGATCGGCTTGCCGATTTCACCCCCGCTCTCTCCCCACACCTGAGGTACAGCCAGAACAAAGGTGAATGTTCTCAACTCTCACACATAAATACGAGCAATGTCCCCGCCAAAAAACATGAACACACAGCTGCTCTGGCTCATACACTTACTACAGCGATCGATACACAGATACCTCGATCACAGATTTGCTCAATCATGACGAAACCAGGTACTGTACAGCATCAGCGCACTATACATCCTGAACCTATACTTGCACCACTATACCTAGCCCCAAGCAACCTTGGAATACTAACGCCAAGCCAGAGCCATCTATTCAGAGCGCCGTTCTCCACCGAGACACTCAGCACATACCCAAGAAGGCCATCGGTGGAAAAGGCTGCTACATCTACCTCGAAGATGGGACCAAATTCCTCGACTCTACCGGCGGTGCAGCCGTCGCGTGTCTCGGCCACGGCCACGAGGAAATCCAGCAGGCCATCACCAACCAAATGAATCAGCTCTCCTACTGCCACTCAGCCTTCTTCAGCACGGAAGCATCCGAGGAGCTCGGTCGGTTCCTGACTAAGTCGACCGGAGGTCAGCTATCGAAAGCATTCATCGTGAGCTCCGGTATGAGCCCTCCCCTCCCTTTCCCCTTCTTCCTCAATCTCTCACCCACATGTACATACACCACTCGTAAAGTACTAAGCATCAGCACCACCCAGGCTCCGAAGCAGTCGAAGCAGCCCTCAAGCTCGCGCGCCAATACTTCCTCGAGCTCCCTACCCCGCAACCCCAACGCACACGCTTCATCGCCCGCAAACCTTCCTACCACGGCGTGACGCTGGGCGCCCTCTCCGTCGGCGGCCACACCACCCGGCGCCAGCCCTTCGAGCCTCTCCTATCGACCAACACCTCCCACGTCTCCCCCTGCTACCCGTACCGCGGCAAGAACGCCAACGAGTCCGACGCCGACTACGTCGCCCGGCTCGCCGCCGAACTCGACGCCGAATTCCAGCGCGTCGGACCCGAGAACGTCTGCGCAATCGTCATGGAGACAGTCGTCGGAGCTGTACGTGTTACATCTATCTTTCCCTTCCAAAGCCATAACCCCACCCCCTCACAAACACCTCTAACCCCCACCACCCCAAAAACATAGAGCCTAGCCGCCCTCCCCCCACTCCCCGACTACCTCCCCGCCATCCAACGCATCGTCCACAAACACGGCGCCCTGCTCATCCTCGACGAAGTGATGAGCGGCATGGGCCGCTGCGGCACGCTGCACGCCTGGGAGCCCGAAGGCGTGGTCCCGGACCTCCAGGCCATCGGCAAGGGACTGGGCGGCGGGTACGCGCCGGTGTCGGGGCTGCTCATCCACGAGAAGATCGTAAACGTGCTCGACGCCGGCACGGGGGTGTTTCGGCACGGCCAGACCTACCAGGGCCATCCGGTGGGGTGCGCGGCCGCGCTGGCGGTGCAGAAGATCATCCAACGGGATAACGTGCTCGAGAATGTGCGGCGGATGGGGACGTACCTCGGGGAGAAGTTGACGGAGCGCTTGGGGACGCATCCGCATGTTGGGGAGGTCAGGGGGAGGGGGTTGTTTTGGGGGGTGAGTTTTTCCTTTTGCCTGTTCTTGTTGTGTTTGCGGTATACATTGGAGCAATGGGACGATGGCTGACGCGGATTTTTCATGCTCGGTGGTGTAGATTGAGTTTGTCAGGGATAAAGCGACAAAGGAGCCGTTTAGTCCGGAGGTGAAGGTGGCCGGGTTGGTGCAGGAGATGGGGATGGATCCTCGGCTTGGTATCTCGTTGTATGCCGGCAATGGGACGGTGGATGGGGTGCGAGGGGATCATGTGTTGTTGGCGCCGCCGTATAATGTCACCCAGGAGGAGGTGGATTTGATTGTTCGGAAGACGGGCGAGGTGGTTGAGGCGGTTTTTAGGAGGCTCAAGGTCGGAATGATGGACAGGTAGGAATGAGAGTGTGTTGGTGACGGGAAGTACATGGGGGAAGGGTTTAGTCCTGGATGCTTTAATAAGTGGCCTATTTTCACTACTGTATGCAATTGAAATTGGCTAGGCTACACAAGCAAGAGTTGCTTCCAATGGAAACAGTTTCTGAATCATCATTCTCGCTAAGACATATACGCCCAGGCACAGCTTGGCCCAGACCTAATCAAGAATTACAAGTACAGGACACCAAACTGCAAGTATCTATGCCTTGGCCTCGATGGCCGCAGCCTTGGACATCGAGCTATCCTCCTTGGTATCTCCGTTGGCGATAATGGCAGGCGCCGGGCCCTCCTGCCACATACTCGCCACCGTTTCGACGGCCCGTTCAATGACCACCCGAATCCGGTCCCTCAGCACTGCGTTCGCACACTCCACCTCAAGAGTCTCCAGCCAGACCCGCGCAACGTGCTTGTCGACCTTGATCTCGAGTCCCGGGAAGGGGATACCCAGCGCCTCGAGACGAGCCATCTCGGCCGCTTCCAGCTCCTCCATCGTTTCGTCTTCGTCATCCTCTTCTTCATACTCTTGCTTAATGGGTGTTTGGTCGCCAGCCTCGCTTTTGATCTCAGGCTTCGCTGCGCCGTTTGTGAGCCGGTTAGGAGGGAGTCGTGGACGCTCGATGGCCACGATTTCAGACCCAAATTGCGCTTGAAGCATCATGAGCAGGCGTCGGAATCGCTCTTCCGGTCCTAGGTTAGAGTGGGGATTGGGCAACTCGTCAACGTCATCGTAGTGGTGATGATGGTGGTGGTTTTGCTTCGCGGATTCTGCAAAACGGGTTAGCCATATACATTGCAACTATGCCCGGATACCAACATACGTTTCACAGATGCAGGGCTGCTTTCCACCGTGAGAAGCACAGCCATAACGGCGTCCGCGACTCCGTCGTTCATAATGTTACCCTCCCACTCGAGCTCAAGCTCACGGGTGCGAGAGTGGTAGCGAAGTAGCACACAGCCCATGACAAGGTACGTTTGCGTGTCCTCCATGGGGATTTCTTCATCTGCAACCTCTTCTTTGACCTGGCTCGCTTCCATATCTGAAGTGCCGTCTCCGCTTTCCTTCTTGATCTCCTTTTGTGGGGTGCCCACCTCCTCAATGGCGCCAAAAGTTCCCTCGAGTGCCCACTTGATCAAGTCTATGCTTGCAGAGCTCAGCGTGAGATGCTGCTTGCATACGATGGTGGTTGTAGTCAGACCGGCGTACTCCCTAAGGTCGTCAGGAGCCATCAACGACAAGTCGAAGCCGTTCTCGACAAGAACTCCAGTCATCAAGTGACCGTCGTCCTCGTTGGTCGGAGGTGCCACTTGGGCCAGTTTACCAACAACCTTTGCGATCTTGTCCTTCTTGAAAGGAATGCGGACCTCATCGCAGTTGGCCGGGGTGTAGACCTTCACTTTGACGGTCTTTTCGGCGTTCAGGCTGAGCAATTTGGACTTGAGACGCATCATCTGATGTTTCTCGCCGTGGACCAGGATCTAAACAGGTCAGTCAGTGTGGTGTCACAATCGGGCTCGGACATATACATACCACAACAGGTGCGGAGATTTCCTCAATGAAATTCCGGTTCTGAACACCGTCCACATGGGCTGCAAAACTGATCTCATCCACAGTACACCGTCGGGGAATCATGACCTTCTGCTCCTCGTCGCCGTTTCGCCTCACCATCCCTGAAGCTGCTCTAGACATCACCGCAGGAATCTGTTCTGGCTCATTCAAGATTTGTTTGGCCATCGTGCCTTCCACACTGTAACCGGTCATAACAACGCCGTTGCGTTCGTTGGGGGCCCATCGCTCCAGCAGTTCTCGACTGGTTCCCGTCTGGAGCATACCCGGCGAAGCCAGCATGACACAGCCTCCTACATCATCAAAGCGCTCCAAGCTGCGCAGACTGCGGACGAACTTGAAATCCCAGGGTCCTACACTCAATGCGTTGTCCCCCCGCGCCTCCGCCTCCGCCATACGCTGACGGTGGAGCCGCTTAATGTTATCGTTCATTGAATGTATATATGTCTGATACACGTTCATACATCTTCGGGCTGTATTTCCGATGTAGTAGATAGGGATCCTCTGCAGCTCGGGGTGTGTGTCCCAGTATTCATCCAAGATGAGTAGAATTTCTTGGGCGCGACCGAGAGCAAATACCGGCATCAAGACCCTGCCACCACGATTCAATACACCGGTGACCGACTTCATCAAGGCGGCCTCACGCTCCAGACGGGGCGGGGTAGACGAGATACCGAATGTGGATTCAGTGATGAGCACGTCGATCTTGATGCCCTTGGGAACCTCCGCCGGGATCAGATGACGGTCTTCTTCGCGGGAATAGTCGCCTGTGAAAAGAATGTTCAAGTCGGCAATGGAGACCAGGAACATGGCAGCGCCGAGGACATGACCGGCCGGGTAGGGAGTAAAGCGAATGCCGTTAACAGTGTGGGTCGTGTGGAAATCAATGAGCTCAATTTGATCAAATGTGGTGTGGTGATCATGCTCGGTGTACAGGGTAGTGCGTTGGTCCGACGAGGACGACGTGTTGCTCACTCGCACATTATCCTGAATGAGCCATTTGTAAATGGCCTTGGTAGCATGTGTCATGAACACACGACCTTTGAAGTTCGTCTTGCTGAGTACGTATGGTAATGCCGATGAATGGTCGACGTGGAAACTAGGAAGAGGAGGAGCATGTATCAGCGGACATTCCGGTGAGGCACTGGCACGATTGTGGCAGACGACATTGCTCGCGACGCATTATACAAGGACACAGCATGGAAGATAACATCATTTTTATTGGAGTCTCATATACATGAGCGGGGATCGAGGCGATAATAGAAGCTATTGCCAGATATACCCCGGGGTGCATAGGTCTATACACGGTGTAGCACACGGGCGCTAATGAGCTCGTCTTACGACGGACGGTGTGGCAGAAACGGCGAAACACAAAGGAGAGGCTATCCCACATACTGGCTGATGAGTAGAATGTCTACCGTACTCAAGTCGAACTCGTCAAAGAAAGGAAGAGCCGAGAAGCCCTCCTTTCCAGGATGCATACCTGCATCGAACTATTGAAGTTGGCAAGTCAGCACGGCGCCAGAGCAAGACATAGGACTTTGCTTGTCACCCACCATGACAGTCTTTCCCTTGTATTGAATAATATGACAGGATCGTCCGACTTCATTGCCGCCTCCCAGACAGTGAAACGCCAGCTCGTCGGCGGGGTCGACCGGCTCATCATCGATAGCGGCGTTCAACGCCGCTGCCTTGCGTTTAGTGGCCATGATGCGCACCTCAGCCTGCTAGACGATCAAAATGGCAGGTTTCAGATTAGTGTAACTATGCGCAATGCGATTATCAATTGTTGCGTTGTTGACGTTGAGCAACAGTCCAGCTCCAACAGTTGGCTGGCTGGCTTGCCTTTGTTTAAATGGAGTCAGTCAATCGGTCAGTCAGCGCTGGAACCACAGGCCATGGCAGGCGCTGAAAGAGGCGCTTGAAACAGATCAGTACTGGCCGGGTGTGGCTTGAAAAAGGTGACTTGTGATGGTAATCTTCACAGAGTTCCAATGTCTCAAAGTCCCAGATTAACCCTGGCCCATTTCCCGATAAGAAAGGGTGTTATGGCGCGACAGAAGGATAGTTCAAGCTGGAAGGGAAAAAGACGCGGTCGGCGGCTTGGAACGGCCTGGCCGTGGTGACTAAGGAGTGACTAATGAGTTAAGCGCGGGCAGCGCGGCCTTTAGCGCCACGTGACGGGCCTTCCCGCCGCATCGGGTTGGGAAGCAAACCTCGTCCGCAGAAGCTCCCCTTCCCGATTTCGAAAAGCATCATCGTTGGCTTTCCCCGTCCCTCCATTCACTGCGCATACCCTCAATACCTACCACGATATCCCTGCTCTGATTCTGTGTATGCATTGAATTTTACTTCGATGTCGTGAAATGGTTACGGTTGGTGGCGGTGGCGGTTATCAGCACTCCGCTCGGACTCTCGACACATACGCGACGCATCTCCAATAGACGTGACTGAGTTCGATCTGATTCGGAAAGTAAATCCATCGACTGTCGCAGATTAATTCACCATGGCGCAACCACCACCACCCCAGGGGCAACACTATGCCCCGTCCTTCTCGCCCCCAGGAACCTCACCGTCTCCAGGAGCTCCGTCGCCGATTCCGAATGGTGGTATTCCTCCTCCGAAGCGACAGCGCCTTTCCCCTCTACCACAATCGCAGTCACCGTACGCCTCTCCCAGTTTCGGTACTCTGCAACTACCACCGAGCCAGTCTGCGCCATACAATGCCAATAATCTAAACGGTGTCGCGCCTCCATCATCCCCCGCTCCTCCTCCTCCTCCTCCTCCTCCTCTTCCTTCAGGCACGATGGGACCTCCGTCAAGACCGGTTGAGAAAGCCACGGACGCTGCTGAGTTGACTGACGTGTTGGCGTCATCCGGAATCGATGTGCGCGAGGAGGAGGCCTATCTGACCAGCAGCTACTCCGGACCTGGTGTTCAAGCGCAACAACCTCCCCGACCTCAACAACCTCCCGCCCCGCAACAGCTTCACCATCAGCCACCACCCCCACCTACCACAGTCAATACCTCATTTTCCTCTCAACCATCGACCACTGGCACTGCCCCTTCCACTCCGAGTTTCGGTGACAATTCACATTACAAGCCACCTACGACTCAAGACTCGTTTTACACAGAGCCAGCCTCACAGCCGCCCGCTCCTTTCAAAGACCCCAATGAACCAACACGAGAGGATAGTGAAGCGGCAAGACGTGCGCAGTACCACCTGCAGCACTCATTTCTTTTGACCAAGGTTTTGGAGCAGAAGTTGCAGAAACGAGGATTTGAGTTGGGCGTTCGCATCCCCGCGGAGGGTTTATATCACCCCGTCCCCGGTCGCCAGCAGCCGATTGAAGTGACAGGACCGGATGGGTCGTCTATCATCCGTTCAGGACAGACGATTCTAAATCAAACTGGCGCTCCCTTGCTTGATATTCTGAGCCTCATGTCGATTGCCTGTGAGGAGCGCCTGCGCTCAGTTGTGGATTATTCTTCTACACTGGCGA